CCTCCTCCCGAAGGAGGAGTGGGCATATCGGCCACTGCCAACTCGAAGAGTCGTGGAGGGCTACTCGAAAGCTTTGCTCAAGGAGTTTGCGCAGCTGAACCAGCTGCCAGATATCGACAGCCTGTTGCCAGCCTTGTAAAAGCTGCTTGTTGCCCAACCCAGGGGGGGGTGAGGATTGAGGAGCTTTTCGGGCCTGGGGTTTCGGGCTGAGTGCGTAGAGTCAGTGGTAGAAATCACAATAGGACTTATAGCAATAGGCAATCTGCATGTCTTCTTCGAGTGAGGTTCATGCAGCTTCCCTCCATGGAGCAGCCGGATCATATGAATATGCCGAAGTCTACCTCAGACCTCCAGTAAAGGGGCACAGGCGAGCTCTTCAGCCACACGGAGTGTTCTCCATGCTAGAAGTTGTTCTTTGACTGTTGTTGTCGTAGACAAGAACAAACTGTCGAAAGACCCAATCTCCAACAATGCTGCTTCTTTAATCTGGAATCTAACTCGCCCTCATGAAGAAACCCCAAAGACTGCACGGCTTCTTCTGAAAAAGGCACCTGTAAACATGAAGGGTGCTCCTGATACCTTACACCCTTGCAGCCCCCTGCAGGGTGACTCGCAAGCCTGGATTAAACAAACCGAAACCGTCACCATGAGACACCTCTTTTAAGGCCCATAATAGAGTATTTAATAGAGAGTTGTCGGAACACTTGTTAATATAGTATCCCCTGTGTAGTGATAATATGCACATGTTCTAACATTTCCCATCCAATAATTCATTAACCCCTACAAACACCCTCAAGAACCTCTATAGAACGTATATAGGCACCGTTTAAAGGAAACCAGGCCCCTGCATGTTGGCAAACCCTTACCACCAGCCTGTCCGTGCAAAATGAGCCCTACAAAAAGTCAGCAAGACCGACACCCCAAATCCTAAAACTCCAAACCCCTCAAGCCTGAACCATGCTCGAACGGTAAACTCCTATAACCCCAACCTAAACCCTAAACCCTAACAAAATCCTAAACCCTAAACCCTAAACCCTAACCCAAAACCCTAGGCCCGAAATCCGAGTGAAACGCCCCAGGCGCTGTGTCTTCGAGTGCCCTGGGTCCGGCTCATAGCAGAGCCTGCCCTCTTAGAGGCGTCTGAGATGTGACGGGGGTTGGGATTCTAGGGCTCTAGGGGTCTAGGGAGTTTTGGGTTTTAGAGTTTGGTGTGGTTAGGGTTTTTTTAGGGGTTTTAGGGTTTTCAGGGGTTTAGGGTTTAGGATTTAGTGCTGTAGGGGTTGAAAGATTCTGGTTTAGGGGTTGAGCCCTTTGAGTGGCTTGTGTAGAGCTGACGATCAACCGAATATTATGGGCCCAAAGTAGTTCCTTTTTGGGGTTCATATATAGAATCCTATAAAGGTAATCCCAAAAAGGAACTACTATGGGGCCTTTGGGTAACCCTATATATAGACCCTAGGCTCGGAGCCCCGAGCCCTGAACTTCAAAGTGGGTCCCTTTTAGGGTCCTTTCCATAAGGGCGCCATACTGTTTTGGGGGACCGAAAAGGCCACACTGATTTAGAGAACTACCCTAATAGGCTTACGGTTTCAGGGTAGGTCAGGATAGGTCCAAACTCGAGGTGCCGAAATTCCAGCCCCCCCCCCCAATCCCCAAACGACGTATCCCAAAATAGAGTGTTGAACAGCTGGTGGTAGTATCTTTCTATGATAAATCTCATCTCTAACTGTAAGATGGACGACTCGAAACCCTATTGAGATGATTAAGCATGGTAACTGCAAGTCCTACAATCTGAGCCTCAGAAAAACAGTCTGGTTCCTAGTAGGGAATGGGGGAATGGGTTCCTCTAAGGGTTCCTTCTTACGGGGTTCTTTCAGGGTTCCTCTGGTCGATAAGGCTACTATAAGGGACCTATAATGGTTATAATGGTTCTTAGTAGGGGATGGGGGATTGGGTTATGGGGACTATTATTGGGGACTAGATAGGGGCTTCACTTTTGGGGATCCATTCACCCATTCCCGGCTAAGAACCAAAGAGAAAGCGGGGGTCGTTGGATTTAGGGTTTGGGGTTCTAGGGTCTAGGGATTTGACTTTGGGTTTAGGGATTTAAAGTTTGGGGTTTAGGGTCCAGGGATTTAGAGTTGCGGTTTAAGGATTTCGGGTTTGGGGTTTAAGGTTTTGTTTAGGGCTTGTTCTGAATAGGGAGTTCCGGTTTGGCTGCACGGCGTTGCGATTTGTCACTTCAATCGCCCTTGAGGGAAGCCTAAAACCGACCTTAATTCCCAACAGCATGTAACATAATGACTCCTACGGTTGATGATACAAATCCTGCATTACCCATAATAAGGAATATGTCATAATTCCCATAGTTTAGGGCCCTTAAGGTCATGCAGGATTTATATCATCAACAGTAGTAAATCCAAATTCCTACCTCGGAACGAAAGGCTCCATGTAGCCATGTAGTATATACCTTTGTACAGTACCCATATATAGGAACTCCTTTAAGGCCTTAAGTATATACTACAGGGGGACGTGGAGCCTTCGGAGGAGCAATCTGAGTCAATTCGGCAGGTTCTCCGGATGTCGACCGCGAGGAGTTTAGCCGCCCAGGCCGGTTGTTCGTGGCAGAAAAGAGGGCCACCCACTTGGAGGTTCCCCGGTAGTTAAAAGTGGAGCTTTTAAGGGGTTTATGGGGTTTTATATTCGGGTTGTTAACCGTCCCCTTTAGGGTTTGGGGGGTAGTTATAAGTGGGGTTATTACTTATCGGTCTTAGTGTAAAACTCAATACCTCTAGGGGTTGGGTAGTTATAAGTGGGGTTATACGTAGGGTAGCAATGTCCAAGCAGGATTTTGGCGGTTCTGGGGCTTTGGGATTTAGAGTTCAGGATGTGACGTAGGGATTGTATTCGCCGTTAACGTGAGCGTACATAGGGCTCCTCAGAAATATATTACTGAGTTTGCAATTGGATTTTATGTTGGAGGTGCTAGCAATGAAAACCCTCATCCTTCCATATATGTGCTTCATTAGCAATGCAGTATTTTCTTGTACCCCTGTGTAAACTGTGCTGTATAGCAATGTGTAACGCCCAACCCTCCGCGAAAATTTAGAGTTCAAGCCATTGCAAAATTCTGACAGGGCGGGTTATGTGGGTTTTACGATTGGATGTAGGGTTGTGGGCTGGGAGTACATTCGCAGGCTAGGTTTCTTGCAGACAAGCACCGGTGTTGAGGATGTGGGTTTTGGAATCAGCCTCGGATTGATGTGGTCGTGAGTCCTGCTGTTCTGATATCTTTCTATTTTATTTACGGTCTTAAGCCATTGAGTTTTGGTTGACGGACAATCGAACAGTTCTGTATCTGTATCTGTATCTGCAATATGTTCCGTGCCCCGCGGCACGTGGGATCAGTCAGCACTGTCCCGCACGGTCACCGCAGCACCATTTGCTGGCGGCTCAGTTGGCTGTACACTGCAGTGGCTTACGTCGCAAGCTTTCAAGCCGTTTATTATTCCAGGCCTCAAACCCGGACCGTTACCAAGTCGCCTTTTCAGGCTTAGTCAGCGCCGTACAGCTTTGCCCCACTACTCACTCTAACTGTTGCATGGCCTGAAAACGAAATTGCTACATCCTCAACACGAAACCGTGCAATCGGGATCCGCCCTATAAGCCTTCTATAAGCACTAGAAACCCTGCCTTATGAAGCTTCATACACACAATAAGCCCCGTAAGCCGTAAACCCAGAACAACAGTTCAATGCAGGAATTATCCTACTACACCTTACAAACCTTGCAAACTAAACCCGAAAACCCTAAACCCCAACCCCTAACCCCCCAAACCCTTAACCCCTAAACCCCTAAATTTCGGGTGCAACCGCGGATTCGTCAGGTCGCAGCGAGCGACTCAGCTGCCCGGCTTTTGGAATATGGCGCCGTCCTGGAGATGGCCCGCGGGATTACTATAGACTACGGGGGCCTTAATTATACCTATACTACTAAGGTAGAAGAGGGCTTCTTTAAAGGGTCCTTAAAGGGGTGCTATAATTCAGGGTTCCTTTAAAGGGGTCTATAGAAGGGATACTATAACAGGATCTAAGGTACGAGAATAATAGTTGCGTATGCTATTAGCATAGAATAGGCTCCCACACCCCATTCTAACTATTAAGGCCCCTATATATTTATAATATCGGATTTGTCGTTAAGCATCGAGAAAGTACCGGGATAATACAAGGGTTGTCGAGGGTTCTCATAGGGTTATGTAAGGGGTTTGATCTGGTTCAGGTTTATGGGAGTTTCTGAAAAGTACGGGTACATTACTTGGGGTCCTTCTTACATGGATCCTACGATTTAGGGTGTTATATTGGGGTCCCTAATTTTTGGAAACTCCCTTATGGCTCTGCATTCAGAGTTGAGGGTTTGCCCGGCTCCACGCTGCAGAGGGCTTGGGGGGGGGCTCAGGTTTACAAGGGCTCGCTGAGGCTTTAGCGGGGTGGTTCAATATGGTGTAGTCAAAGGGGAAAAGGAGGGACCCTTAATGGGGACCCCTACCCTATAATGGACCATATAATGGGTATATAACAGCTATATTAAGGGTATATATACCAAGGGGTCCATATTAAGGGTCCCTCCTTTTACCCTTGGATTTAGGTGTGTAGAGTTTACTGAGTTTGGGCGAAGACAATTCTGAAAAAAGAGTTCTCGTGACATAATGATTATAATAGGGGCCTTAATGATTACCAATACTATTTTGGGGGGTTCCTTATTAGTTAGAATTATGATGTAATGGGCCCGGAAATCAAGGCCCCTGTATTGTTGAACATGTTCGGGGTTCCAGAATGCAGACAGGTGCCAGGAGACACACATGCCTTTCACAACCTCGTTTCTCTTCCCGGCTTATTCTCACAAACGAAACCGCTATGAACTTGGGTATGCATTGGGTGAACATTTTAGATCCCCATACGAAACGAAATTGACACCATTTCAACTCCGGAAATCCTTGCGATGGATGTCTCAACAATAGTCTAAACAACAAAACGCAGTGTAAGCCGTAAGTCCTAGAGATAGATTTTGAATTCCCCTTCTGCCCTAAACCCCAAACCAACCCTTTCGGCAGACCTGCTACGCCTCACAAGCCGCCGCGAACACCGCGGCAGCCCCGTCATCGAGACGAACCATGAGCCGTCGCTTGGATGGAATTCTTCTGTGGGGTCCAGGGCGCAGGGCTTAGTTTCTAGTTCAGCGTTGAAAGCAATGGGGTTTCAGGGTTCCCGGGGCTGATAGGGCGTGATAAAGAATTGGTTTCCTCGTTGTGGTAGCTTAATAATGATATGAAATGCCCTTTCAGGAATCCAGTTAAACTCCCAGCTCTCTTCGTTGTCATCCGCTGGGTTTATCTGAGCCTGCATTATCCTTACCCAAGGGCCCCATTAGTAGTTCCTTTTTCGGGATTGCCTTATAGGATGCTGAGTATGAACCCCAAATGGAACTCCGATGGGGCCTATACTGGAGTTGAGGGCTCAAGGAGGCCGTGAAGCTTTACGTGGGATTTGTGGCCTAGCTAGAGAGGGATAGACGTCCCTGTACCTTTGTTTTTTTGAGTTTACCACAACAGAAGGTTCAAGACATCTCTCGGATTCGGATGCACGCTAGTCTTTGGGGTGTCCACGTGGTCAGCTGTGCTTGGCAGCCTAAACGGCCTGAAGCTAAAGCCCTGCAACCCATCAGCGGGATTTCTGAGCCTGTTTAGGGTTCAGGGAAGTTCTAGCTCAGAACTGATCCTGAAGCCGTGAAGCTCTAAGCCTTAAACCCTATAAGCTCTAAACCCTATAAACTCAAACCCTAAACCCTCAAACCCTATAGCAATTGTGTTGTTGAAGCTTTCGAAATTGGTCAACCGCTGGGATGATGCGGCGTAGCGGCGTAGACGTAGACATCAGAGCCCCAAGCAGAGAGCCGTAAAAACCAGACCCGACTAAATAGGAATAAAAGCCGAAGCTGGCAACCGCAGCCGCAAATCCTGGGTTCCCGAAGTGCTCAAAAGCTCTTGACAGCTTGAAGTTGCAGCCTCCTGTACGATGTGTTTCGGCGTATATTTAGCATCTTCTTGCCAAGGTCTTCTGGGACCCAGGGTTAAGATAACGGTACATAAGAACATCGGCGACATAGGGCATTAAAGGGAAGTCCAGAAAGTTGGAATATGGTTTCAGGCTAGGATATCCTATAATTTACCATAGAAGGGCTTAGGATAATCATATTCCAACTTTCTGGCTTTTACTTTATAGGGGCCTTGCAGGGTTGTACCGGGGCTTCTGAAAGGATGTCGTCGGGTTCTGAGTTCTTCAAGGTTTCCGGTCTTGCACAGCATACTGCGGATCCACGATTCATAGGGTTGATGATATAAATCCTGCATGGCCCATAATAAGGAATATACCATAATTCCCATAGTTTAGGGCCCTTAGGGTAATGCAGGATTTATATCATCAACAGTATTTCGCTGTGTTGAGGGGCCCTAGGATAAGGATCTGCAGTGTCATCCTCATGTACATGAAGGGTCGATGCAAAAAAGCAGAGACACAGCATGTCTGGAGGTCTGTTACGCGTGTGGCCAGTTTGTTCCCAACCTCTGTCGAAACCCTAAGGCTTTACAAAGATAAACAAAAGAAGACATATCTGTCTGAAATCTTGTGCTCCACAAAGCCCCCCACTCTGCGGAACCCGATAACTCTAAGCTTTGAGGAATCTGGCCTCCTGTTCCCCCGCCCTCGGAGCCTGCACCGGTCAGCTCGGTGTCAAAGCCGCTTACTCGGAGGGTTTCGGGTTTAGAATTTAGGGGTTCAGCAATATAGGGGTTTAGGGCTCTGTGTTTAGGGTGTTGTTTTGCTGGTGGAGGGGGGGGAAGGTTAGGGTTCATGTTTGCTGTCCTGCACGGGTTAGAACAGGCTCCTACAAAGGGTTCTTCAACGGTTCTACAAGGAATCGTGCTTTGGACTTTAGGTGAGCATCCTGATCATAGTGACAGCCCGAGCAGGGAGCAGATTCATCAGCAACGGGCTCTATTTTTCATGTTACGGCAATGTGCTGCCTTAAGACGTTGCCGGCATTTCTGAAGACGACTGATTGTGGTATCATCGGGTGTTGCACATGCAGAAAAGACTAGTCACGCAACGCCCCACACAGGACTTGCGAATGCACAGTGGAAAGCGAGGTCATACTTGACTCTTGACAGAGCGCCATGTCATTATTCCCCAAACGATCGCTGCAGTAGTCATGCCTGTTATGCCCCAAACCGTGAAACTTGAACCCCGAAACTCCTCTAGCCCCCAAAAAACAGCCCGAAACCAGAAAGCCCTAATCCGTAGGTCCTAAATCCCTTAAACAGCCATCAACTAGACGTGCCATAGATCTTAAACCCCGCAGAAAGCAATATACACTAGACTAGACGTGCCATAGATCCTAAGCCCCCAAAAAAACCATAGACTCGACGTACCATGGATCCTAAAAACTGAGAAGCACCATGTTTCCGAGCTCCATCGCGAGAGAAGGTTGGAAGAATCGCTTCGACAGGCTCGGCTTCGACTTGGGATCACTCCCCAGGCAGGGCTGGGAACATACATGATCTAACGAACGAACTATGTAAGTTCAGACATTGATAGGCAAATTAAACGCTTAAACCAATGGTTAAGTAACATGCGTGTGTAGATAGATAAAAGTGTATGCACCTTTACACATACACACGTACACACATACACACATACTTACATACTTACACATACACACACACACGTACACACACACACACATGTACATACACACATACATACATACATACATATGTATATGTGTATATGCGTACATAGACATCACATATGTTTACATACATAATCACATAATTATAAGTTTCACAACTGTGCACATTTTTATAGCTTTATACAAGTTTATACAACTGTATGTGACTCTATAATTGTATATAGTTATTCAGATCCATATATGCACATATTATGTACAGATGTATACAGGGTTTGGGTTACCGTCGTGATGGTGTGGGGTCTAGGGTTTAAGCAACGGTTTGAGGTTCAGGGTTTGGGCATTTAGGGCTGAAAAGATTCTTCGATCTCCTCAAGGATGCTATAGTAGCTGCTATAGTTTAGTCTCATATTCGGGTTCTAGAAGGGGTATGCCACGGGTTTATAAAGACCTACAGACTGCCATGAGGTGCAAGTCCCCGTTCTAGGAGCATTCCTCTGTGAGAGCGGTTCGGAGTTTCTGTGAGGGTTCGGATGGGTTTGGGGTTTGGGATGTCGACTGCACAGTGTTTTTCAGGCTTCAAGAAATTTACGTTAGGGCCGGGGTGGGGATGGGAGGGGAGTTGATTAGGCCTTCATGGTTTAAGCTTACTGGGCTTGTACTTCTAGAGTTGGGGTTCTGTAATGGCTTGTACGGGGGTTCTACAGGGGTGTAGTGTATTCCGGGTTTAGTGGTCCCAGCATGTTTTTGGGGCTTGACTACTGAGAAAGGCATTTCAGATGGTTTTAGGGTGCTTATAGAATGGCAAAGATTATATAGAAACTCCAGAGAGAAGACGAGAGTACAGGGCTTGAGAGCATCCGGAATTGACGGTTTAAGGCTTTGGTGTGTAGGGTTTGGGATTTAGGGCTCAGGAATACAGGGTGTGTTGGGTGTGTCTTTCGGCGTGTAAGAGTTCAAGGTTGCGCGGTCGAGTGTTTCTGTGGGTGCACAGGAGCATTGCAGAGTGGCAGAGACACTGCCGGACCAGTGCCGCACAAGCCAGCTACTGGGCGAGGAACTCGGCAATGCTGAAGCTTTTGGATTCTAGCTTCAATGCTTCAGGATTGAGGTCTCTACGTCCGACAACTCCTTTGGCTGGAATAGGTCATAGCTTGTACTTCAGGCTGCTCCCCGTAATGGATCCGCCGCTCCCACCCTGCATCTTCATCTCTACATGCCTTGTTTGTCTCTCCCTCCTTCACTGTCTTGCAGGCTTTCTCCCTCTCCTCTCCTTTTCTGTCATTTCTGTGTCTCGTGAGGCCGTATAGAACTAGCAAGAAAATTATCGATTCCTACTGCGATGGAGTGCCCCCCGTGTCTTTCACTTCCGCCACCATTGAAAACCTTTTAAAAAATACGGTCCAGGGATCGGCAGGGGTTCACTAATCTCTCGGTCGAAGAATTTCTGTACGGGTTGTAGAAAGTCCTGTCAGGATTTCTGTAAGGGATTCCATAGTGCAGGTGCCTGGGTTTCTGCGCCGGAATATTTACCAATGCTAGTCCTTAGGGTCCCCTATCATCGTTACGGTATAGTACACCCGAAAACCCCATTGAACTTAACAAGGCCCAATGTTAGGGTGCTTACTGTTGGGGCATGAGTGCTGTTTTTTTGTTTTAAGAGTCCGGGGGGAAAACAGAAAGCCATTCGGACAAAACTGAGCTGACAAGTGTTCTGTGCTTTGAAAACTTGCACCGCCAACATGCAGCATACTTGGCTCCACTTTCAGCCACCAGAGGACAGCGATGTGAGCAATCGAGATGGCCCCAGAATCGAACCACCTTGACGTTGGCAGGTCTGTGATCCTGAGAGATGTTGGGGTGTCGGGTAGTAGATCGCTCGTTTCAGACTTTAGAGTGTCGCATGAGCCGGAAGTTTGACAAGCAGAGCTTGTGACATCCTTTCAAGGCAGCGCCGAGCATGTAGATGAACATGCGGATGCATGCAAACTTGCATGCAGTGTAGCACGGCATGTATGTCCGCCTGCGTGCTTGCCTGCCTGTCTGTATGTATGTACGCATGTACGTATGTGTGAGCATGTGTTACGTTATATGTATGGATGTATGCTAGTGTCTGCATGCATGCAAGGCTTGTATGTGTGTGTGGGTACCTATGTATGTGTGTACGTATGTAGATAGCTATGTACGTATGTACATATATGTATGTGTGTATGTATGTATGTATGTAAGTTTGTAAGCGTGCGTCGTATTTGTGGGTTTATGTATTTGTGCATGAGGCTCCGTGTGTGTGTGTACATTATGTCATGCCACATGTTGTTTGATGGACGGGTGGATGGATGAATGGATGGATGGTTGGATGGATGGGTTGGATGCATGCCGTGTATGTATGTTCATGTATTTGTTCGAGTGCATGTGCACAGTTACATGCAGTAAACTTGTGCTAACGGTGTACAAAGACGGTCAGTGGTGTCCGCACATAGAGACTGTGATGTTGTACTGATCTCTTCGATGGCACAGATTTTGCATGATATCTCATTGCAATATTCACAAACATTATATCATATTGCATTATAGTATATTCTCATAATGCCTTAGATCGTGAACGGGGGGACTTTAAACTTTTTGGCCTTATATATCAGCTCTATCTTAGAAGGTTTGAACATTTTGGGGCCCGGTTGTTGAAGAAGAGAGATGCACTAGACAAATAGTTGTTACCAGCACTGCTTGTCGTTGAGCATCTCGGGCTTCGACAGACACATGCGTCGGAAAACAGTTCTGCCAGCCCCATTGGTGCTTCTCTTGGGGATCAAGTGATACTTATACTTACACGTATGAGCCCCATACCGTCGTACTATGAACCCTTATTGATACATGTCTCTATATATATATGACATATAAAGAAGAACTATATATATATATATATATATATATATATATATATATCAGCCTTAATCCCTTTATGGGTGTACTTGGTCCGGAAGGTTGGATTGAGGAGTTGATGTATGTCGGCTTATCTTCGGCCCAAAGCTTAGGTGCGCACAGTCAGGAAGAAGAAACCTCTGGTGTACCATGGTTCCTATGCTAGGGTTTTCTCTTTTTGTGGGTCCTGGGTCCCTTATAAAGCACTACCGGTTATCGAAGAGTGAGCCCTCTTTATTCGTGGGTTAGCGGGGATCCTAGTATGTGAGCCCACAGTCTACCACATCTGCAAGCCCCACGGTTGCTCAGTAGGAAGACAGCTTTTCAGGGTTCACCTGGACCCTTTAAAACCTACATTCTTTAGGGCTTCTTATTAGAGTTCCTTTATCGAGTGTCGCGGCGCGGATGAGGCTCCTACACAACTTCTGTATGCGCACACATCATTCAGAAATATAAGCGTCTCTTACACTTACATTATGGACCTGCGTTTGGAAAGGAAACTTACAACTACAATGTATGTTCGGCTACATGGTTTCTTGTCACCGAAAGCGCGAAATCAAGCCTCGCCCTGATGCCCAGACCAACCCTTAACTGTTTGTCTATGGCGGGATCTTATCAAAACCGTGGGTGATCCCAAGGCCAAACCCGTTAAGCCCGATTTCCGATGAGCCTGAATGATGCCGAATGACCCCAAAAGCCCTGAAGTGCCATATGGGAGCTTCCGAAAACAGAGGGACCCTAATACAGCGCCCTAAATAAATGAAATGGGATCCTGATTATAAGGACCCCGCAATAATGCACCCCTAAGTTTCGGAAACTCTAACCCCTGATATAGAGCCCTGTAAAGGTGCCCTTAGAGTACCCTTTAAAAGACCCCAAAATAAGGGCACCCTTAATCTTCGGAAACTCCCATGCCAACCCCAAACCCTAAACCCCAAACCCTAAACCCTAAACCCCAAACTCTAAACTCTAAACCCTAAACCCTAAACCCTGAACTCTAACCCTAAACCCTAAATCCTAAACCCTAAACTCTAAACTCTAAACCCTAAACCCTAAACTCTAAACTCTAAACTGAACCCGCCTGCACCCAGCTTCCCCGACCCTTGGCTCACAGGATCCCAGGTAGTTCATGTTCAAGCAGCTAAGACTATAAGACGTGGAGATTTTTGGGGTTTAGGATTAAAGGGGATTTTAGCTAAGACTATAAGAAGTGGAGGTTTAGGGTTTAGGGTTGAGGATTTTAGCGCATGATTTTTTTGGCAGACTCCCAAACCCCGACAGATTCCCTTCCCGTGCTTCCCGCGCTACTGCTTCAGAGTCCCTGGTTCCGCCCGCTTTTTAGCCACGTCTCACCGGGTGCACTCCCCCCCAAAGGGGGGGTTTCGGTGCTCCTCGGAGGCGACCTCTGGGCAGCAGGACCGGAGCACAGACCCTGAGAGCCCGATTTTCCTTAAGGGCTTTAGGGCACTCTAGGGTTTGGGGCTTATAGGGTTTACCATGGTTTAGGGTTCAGGGTAAGTTGTGGGATATACCGCTCAAACGACGCGGAATCTTCTTCTACACCATATCTCGTGCCCTTTCCATTACCTTGTGTTAGCTTTTTGTCGCAATCGTGGGAGCAATCCCCGGACTCTTCAGCGCCCCATACGCCTCTAAGGTCTTTACATGGAGCGACTGGGAGGTTCATGGGTAACAGGTTATAAGTGGGGTTAGAAGCAGGGTAACTATAACTATAACTGGACTCCAACCCTCATATGACGCACTTATAGCATGAACCTCTGAGCATCGGCAGTTGATTTCAACACAGGTAAAGTGTACCAAGTTTGTTGAGGGGATCGTCCCTTGGAGGAGAACGATCCGTGCCTGTCCGAATCCTACAGGGCTGTTCCAGGAGTGGCTGTTTGAGACACGTTTTTCACATCATTCCACTTTCTCGATGCTCTATACTATATCATTGGATACTACACTTTATTAATGTTTCATATTAAGGATATGCTACATCATACATAATCGCTACGTGTTATGTAGCATAGATTCAACATGATCTACATCATATATATATATATACACTAGTCAGTTACATAGTATAGCATGTAGAATATACTTATGGATGATGCATACTTTGAGTCTTAGGGCTGCTGGCTCTCATTCTGCCTGCCGACACCAAGGTGTTTTTTCACCATCTACTTGCAGAATTCTAGAAGTGCCGATCCCAGCCTCGCGCTCTCTGTGCTTAGGTGTAGGAGAGATTTGGGCCCTAAGACCCTGAAGCCCTTAACCCCTAATACCCTAAGGGTACAAGTAAACGGATCCCTTAAAGGACTCACTGCTACTGGTGCTGTTGTTGGGGGTTTCGGGGTTAAGGTGGTGGGGGATAGTTTTTTGGCTGAGATCTGGCATCTAGGTTTAGGGCAGTGCGGCACGCCCGAGGCGACTGCTTACTTCTCCTCGAATGGAGGCACGTGCTCTGAATTTTCGGGAAGCAAATCGCACACTCTCGCATGCAATAGGGATTGTCACCAGAGGTCTACATTCACCCTCTATTCAAGTCAAGTGTGGCTAAGAGTAAACTGTCTGCGGGGGCTCGAAGGACCTGGACACCAGTGGGCGGTGGCGTCCTAATGTCCAGTTTTCCCGCTTTCCGTTCTCAAACTCTCTGCCACAGTCTCCATCCATTCATGCGGGTGCTTGTAGCCTTGCATAGTGATGTCTGATTCAGAGAGTTCGCTTGAAGGCTCCTTGGGAGTCTCTCATCTGTCCGGAGATTTTCTAGGGTGTGAGCTGTTGAGGCTTCCACATTGCCTCCGGACTTCTTGAGCAGTCTGAGTAGTCTCCCTGCGTAAAACCCCAAACCCTAAACCGGCAGCTGACAATGCACCGGAGGACGTAGATAGGGTTAGGGCTTTTGGGCCTTTGGGTTTGGGTTTAGGGCAGAGCAATTTATGTCTTCCGCCCCTTTAATCCTACCTATAGTCTCCATTGTCGTTCCATGCTTTTATATACATTTTATATCTAGGATCCTTTGAGGTAACCCAACAAAGGACACGGAGACTAGAGGTAAACCCCTGGACCCCAAAACCCTAAACCCCCACAACCCCCACAACCCCCACAACCCCAGACCCTGCTTAGGTAAACCTCAACATGAGTGCCCAACCCCTTCCGAACAGCTGCCGTGTGTTCCAGAAAGCCTCCGCTCTGCGATCCTCCTGGGGTTTAGGGATATTTAGGGTTTCGGGGCCTGGGGCTTAGGAAAGTTTAGGGACGTTTAGGGTTTCGGGGCCTGGGGTTTAGGGACGTTTAGGGTTTCGGGGCCTGGGGTTTAAGGACGTTTAGGGTTTCGGGGTTCGGAATGCCGGTGTTTGTATAAGTTGGGCTTCCGGGCTGCGGAGGGAAGATGTAGTGAAGAGTCCCGAAGGCTCCACGTAGCCATATAGTATATACTTAGGCCTTAAAGGAGTTCCTATATGGGTACTGCAAGGTAAAAAAAAAACATTCTATATGGGTACATGGATCCTGTGGGAGTGTTACCGCATGTTGAGCCCGCATTGCTGCAGGATGTGAACATCGAGGAGGTGCGAGCTGCTGCTGCGGTGGCCGTGGCAAGCAACGCGGCCCTAAGATCCTCCGGAGTCCACGGTTTAGGGTTTAGTGTTTTAGGGTTTGGGGTTCAGGAGTTTTCGCTCTAATATGGTTCGTAAGTATAGTTACCCTACTTACAACCGCACTTAGAACTACCCATGAACCTCCAAGTATGCCCTGAACCCTATACCCGTATAGAATCCCTATAGAAGCCCTTTAAAGGGACCCTTAAAGGAACCCTTACGACTATGAACCTCCAACTAAACCTTGTACCGATTGATCCGACGCGAAGCGGCGTGTAGCCCCGGAGATGAGAATTAGCAAACACCGTCAATCTTACACCCAGAAATATCACAGCGGTCCTGATAATGCAAAAACGGTATTTAAATAACGCACGCATTAGGTTTGTGGAGTCTTGTAGGGGTTTTCGGAGGCTTTATCGATTATCTGGATTCTATGTGCAACTTAGGTTTCAGTCCTCAGTGAGATATTTGAGTCCCACAACCGTAAACCAACAATCCTAAGCCTGAAATGTTTCAGATCTACGATTGAGGGGCAGGGTTCGACATTGCCGAGTCCGTGACCCAAGGGCTTGGGGTTTATAGTGTTGGCTTTGAACTTGCAGGCACCCTTGTGGATAATGTCCAGCGCGAGCGAAGAGACAATGTTGGGAAGGCCAAGCCAGGTCTAGGGACGCTCGGGCTCAGAGTATTAGGGCTAGGATTTAGAGTGTTTAGGGGTTCTAGGGTCGAGACACTGTGGACTAACCCTAAACTTCACACCCCTAAACCCTAAACCCTAAACCCCCCAACCCCTAAACCCCTAAACCCTAAACCCCTAAACCCTAAACCCTAAACCCCTAAACCCCAAGACCCTAAACCGTGGACTTGGAATGATGCGGATGTACGGTTTTGCGGTTTGGGTTGTGGCCTTCATGCGCAAAGCGCGACATGATGCCATTCTGGTTCTCTGGCTTGGTCTTCACCCATAGGCTCCATAGTAGTTCCTTCTGGGGATTACCTTATAGGATTCTAATTATGAACTCCAGAAAGGAACTACTATGGAGCCTCTAGGTAGAGTCTACTTCTGGCTTCGGTACTCTGGGCTTCCTGACTAATTTTAGACTTTACCTTTAGCTTTCCCTAAGCCCAAAACCCTAAACCCTGAGCCGTTTTAGGGTGACCGCATCGATAGCTTTGGTTTCGGGGCTTTCATAACCTTTGGTATTAGGGCATTCGGCTTGCGGATTTTAGCATGCGGTCTTTTTACCTCAGGGACTGATGCGTAGGCTTCAGGTGTTCGGGTCGAAGGGTTTTCGGTGTAGGGATTTAGGGTTTGTGGTTTTGGGGGTTCTGGCTTTTACGATTCAAGCTCTAGGGCTTTGGCAGGCTTTACGGCTTTTGGTGGTTCGGCTTTGGCCTCACAAAACCTTAACCCCCACAGTCTTTCGGTTCTTGAGTTCTTGAGGGTGCAACGTTTAGGGTTTATTGTGTAAAGATTAGGCTTGCCCTGGTTCCTGATTCGCTGTGAAAGCATACAAGATCTACTATATGGTGGCCTAAATAGTTACCAATACTACTTTGCTGGGTGCTTATACTAAAAATGTAATGTACCACAAAACCCTTTTGTATAATTCGTATTGCGGCCTTTTGTAGAGATTTAGGCATTGGGTTTTGAGTGTGGGAATCCAAACGACAACCACTTAACCGCTTGGCAGAAACCATGCCAAAAATGCGAAAGCGGGAAACATGACGGCAATAGTGCTTCGGGCTTACATAGCAGCTACTCCATCATCCGTTTGTTCTTTGCGAAGAAATGCAGACAAACCGAAACCTACTCTAACCAGTCTGCGTGTAGCTCGACTGGTCTTTCGCTCGCGCAGTTTCTGGGCCGAGGTTTGGGGTTAGGGTACAGGGTTTAGGGTTTAGGGCTTCAGGTTTAGGGTACAGGGTTTTAGGTTTGAAGAAGGTTAGACATGCATGCTGATTGGTGTTTGTCTAACCAGGCTCGGGGAAAGTTGATGAAACATTGAAAACTAAGGAAGAGCGAGAGAGAGAGAGAGAGAGAGAGAGAGAGAGAGAGTCTGTGCTTGAACTAGTGTGGAGTTCCAAGGTATTGTGTTCCACGATTCTCATACCTCTATAAAGGTGAAACTTCGGGAATGCACGATAAGCCCCGTCGTCGTTTCATGGTTTCAGAGCTTTAAATGTGGTTGTTTATGGTTTCTTCAACACCCAGGTTTGAGGCTTCGAGGTTGCAGGCCTGTGGTTTTAGTGCTGCATGCCAGTCAGGTCACGCAATATAGGGGCCGGAATAATTAGAATAGGGTTTTGGGGCCCGTAATACCAAGCTGTGACAAATAGCTGTCGTCTCTCAAAGGTCATTTCAGACAATGTGGCCTCCATGGACAGTGCGTTGAAGTCAGCGCAGCTGAACTTTGCCGTGCAACTGTATAACGCCATTGTGGACGTTGCACAATGTCTGATCTTGAACATCGAAGCTGTTCTTACAACTCTTACCGAGGTCCACCTGTCCATGCCCCACCTGCGAAAGTGGTCTGCTGATCTTTTGCAGCTCCTGCATTTGGAGAACTTGATCCTCCTGGCAATGGTGGCGGAATTGGCCTCCCTTTGCAGCACCTATGTGCATGCCTTCGACAACAAGGCTCGTGGCGGCCTCTCGCATGCTGCGAACAAGGCGGCCGCGGTCTATGAGCTGAAGCATCACGCCAACGAGGTTTTCAGCTTCACATCGCTCAGCCGTGAGCAGCAAGAGCCCCTATAGTTCGCTCGGACTCCTAGTCTGCCGGCGTCCTTCAGCTGCTGAAGCGCGAACCGCAATTAAACCCGAAACCCTAAACCCCTAAACCCTACACTCTACACCGTGTCTAAGCGCGAAAGGTCTTCAAGTACCCCCCGCCGCCGCCCTTCATCCGGGCGGTGCTCCTCATCCAGGCCGGCTGGTCGTAGGACAGGGAGGAGCAGGAGCCCTATCGGGCTCTACCCAGAGGCCCCAAAGTAGTTCCTTTTTGGGGTTCATATATAGAATCCTATAAGGTAATCCCAAAAAAGAACTACTTTGGGGCCTCTGGGTACGGTTGATGATCTACAGTAGAAGCCAGCAAGTTGGAGCATCATCATCCACATGCCCTGGAGGTAAGTATATAGGGATCCTAGCACCAATCCTTTCTGGCTTCCACTGTAAATCCGGCATTACCCAAAATACTGAGTATATACAGTATACCATACTTCCCATAGTTTAGGGTCTTTCCGGTAATGCAGGGTTTGTATTATCAATAGTAGGGGTTCGGTACGTGCACTGTAAGGCAACGTCATGAAGGTTTGTCGAAAGGTCAAGTTCCGGTTCAGACCACGGCACTGACAGCAAACTAAATGAGTGCACCAAGCCCAGTGGCGGTTTTGCTGCTCGTGTGTGAAGCAGACATCGATGCTAATTAACGATGGACATTATGACGTTGATACGCTTGAGGCCGAGGACGATTGGGATCACGCCTCGCAAGGATTAAGCTTCAAATGAATAGAGTGATGATGGCGGGGTGACACGGTGATATCACGACAAATAAGAGAAAGGCTTACAGTTGAGGGTTTCTGTGATTTATGCATAGGCTTCAGGGCTTTGTGTTTCTGGCTGGGAAGTCGGGCTTGGTGGCAGGCGGGTGGAGGACTTGGTAGCGCTGAGGCTTTTCCAACTTGAGGGTTAAGGGTTTAGGATTTAGGGTTGGGGAGTAGCTGCGGGAGTGACCTGGTGGCCGAGATCTTCTTGTCACCAAACTTTGAAGCCCCAAACTCCAAATCGATGTCAAGGCCTTATTAGGGTTTAAGGTCGAAGGCTGTTCTATACAGTGCACCACTAGTAAGTTCCACAGGGTCTACGACCCATACCCGAGCCATCAGCACCCAAGCCAGCACATGCAGCACACCTCGTCCTGTGATTCAGCATATTGGCTTCGAGCTGACATCACAGTCAGTTAACTGATAGTGAAATCTTCCGCGTCGATTTCCAAAGCTGCTTGTTCGATCGTTTCAGGAGCGGCATGATCAAGAGCCCTCAACACCAAAACGCCTAAACCCTAAAAGCCCAAGGCTTGATAAATGTTTGTAGTGTTTATGGGGCTTATTGTCTTTGAACTATGTTGCCCTACGGACATCATCCTGCTTGCCCGACGGCCTGGAGTTCGCAGGCGTACCCCAAAGCTGAAACCCTAAACACCGAAGCTAGATGAAGCAGACTCAGTTCTGGTCTTTTCCATTGAGGTTCAGGGTTGAGGGCTTATTAACTATAGCCTTGACAGTGTAGTGCCTCACATATCCCGCGCACGGCTATGCGGCTACCGCGATGGACGTGGCTGGCGGTGTTTTTGGCATTCGCTGCGGGGATTACCCTCGGACGCTGGGCCGGCAATAAAGTCCCAGCCGCCCTTATGGTCCCGATATAATCCACGTGACATATTCCCCAAGCCCAAGTCTAATATGTGGCCCATACTCGGCGGGAAAGCCCGATGTGAACCCTAGATTGCTCCACCCTGCTTCCTCCATGACGGTTCTAATTTCTAACACGGATCCTCCAGTCTTGGCCTGAAAAGAAGTCATTTGTCAACGCCAAGGGTTGGAAGCCCCCCAAGAAGCACCTTAACGTAAACTCGCTGAGGTAAATACCCCTACAACCCTTTGTGGTGGTTTGGGGTTTATGAGTCACAGGTTTAAAAAAGGATACGATGCAGGTTCGGTCGCTACCCCTCAGAATGCCGACCGCACTGGCTTTGGCGGCGAATAATCTTTCTACGGCTAGTACTAGCACTACTAGTACTATTGGTACTACTAGTAGTAGTAGTAGTAGTAGTAGTAGCAGTAGTAGTAGCAGTAGTAGTAATAGCAGTAGAAGTAGCAGTAGCAGAAGTAGTGGTAGTGGTAGTGGTAGTGGTAGTGGTAGTGGTAGTGGTAGTGGTAGTGGTAGTAGTGGTAGTAGTAGTAGTAGCAGTAGTAGTAGCAGTAGTAGTAATAGCAGTAGAAGTAGCAGTAGCAGAAGTAGTGGTAGTGGTAGTGGTAGTGGTAGTAGTGGTAGTAGTAGTAGTAGTAGCAGAAGTAGCAATGGAAGACAGAGTAGTAGTAGTAGTAGTAGCAGTAGTAGTACTGCTACTACTACTACTGCTACTAGTACTAGTACTCGTACTCGTACTCGTACTAGTACTAGTACTAGTACCTGCTACTACTACTACTACTACTGCTACTACTACTACTATTACTACTACTACTACTACTACTACTACTACTACTACTACTACTACTACTACTACTACTACTTCTACTACTATAGATACTACTACAATCCACCACCACCACCACGACCAGCACTACTGCTGTGACTACTGCTGCTTCGACGGCGACTACAACGACCACATGCCGCCTCTTAGTGTCTCAGTGCGATGTTTGCTCACTGTACCTTGATTCTGTAGCATCCCCCCCAGACGCGAAGCCCAAGAATCGGCTGCAAAGATCCCGCAAGATTAAGCTGATGCGAAAACCTCAGACCCCAAGGGCCTCTAGCAGGGCCCTCTTTATGATTCCCGAATGCCCTCTTGATATATCGAACTCGCAGTCGCAATGAAGTGCAACAGTAGCAGATCCTGCGTGACCATCTGCTGCCGAGGCCTGTCGCTTCAGTTAGGCTTCGAGCTCCGAGGACAACACGATCTTGGAGTTTGTCTGATACACAGGGTACTGTTAAGGGCCCGAGTAGCAATCCAGCCACTTCGTTTGAAGAAGGAAGGATGGCAACGGTAGTGGTAGCTAAAACGTAAAGCCTCATCCAAATTCGGTATCCGGGAGTGAATATTGTGATGACTGGCGAAGGGCGCGATGCACCAGCGACATCTGTCCGTGCAGTTTGGTTTTGGAGTTGCGATCGTGTACATCGTCATGTCACGGTGTCGAGGAATTATGTCCTAGTGTGGGGCCACCTTTGTCATAGTCGGACTCCATCATCATCGTCATCAACGACACCGTCATCGTCACCACCATCATGAGCATGAGCATGACCATGTTGATCATCACCATCACCAACATCATCACCATCATCAGCACGGGTCTTGAATCATCATGATCATAATGATTTTCATCATCATCATCATCATCATCGTCACCAGCATCATCATCACCACCATCACCACCATCACCGTCGTCGTCATCCTCATCATTACCATCATCATCATCATCATCATGACCGCCAATATCGACAACAGCAGCATCGCTACAAACTTCATCATGATATAAGTCCTCGTGTTGTTATTATTGTGATTTGTCATCATCCTATATCGTCACCGACACCAACACCATCACCGGCACCAACAGAATCAGCAGCATGTTCAATATCCTTACAGTGGTCACCATCAACATCATGGACATTCCGACGGCAGGTATAGCACAGGAGTGCTTGCGATGAAAAGAAACAACATAACTCTAGCCCGACCAGATCAGCGCCATGAGCAAGTGTGTGAGTACCCAGAGACTCCAATATCCCTTCATTAAGGAACATTCCTTAAAACCTATTAGGGATCCTGAATGATCCTAATGTAATTTAAGGTATGTTCCTTAATTAAGTGGTATTGGGGTTTTCGGGTAGGCAGCTAGCCCTAAGCAAAGCTAAACAAAGGTGAATTTGGCTTTCTGAGCTAGGAGAAAGCGCTGCCTTGGGAGCAGTCCGAGGGCTGCAACACTTTCGCCTCTCCCCAGCGCCTGTGGCTTCAATGAACCACTGTTGATGATATAAATCCTGCATTACAATAAGGACCCTACGTAAACTATTGGAATTATTGTATATTCCTCATTTTGGGTACGGCAGGGTTTATATCATCAACCGTAGGGTTACCATCAGTGGATGATGATGCTGTTGATGATATTCCGATGATGATGACGATGATGAGGGTGACCTCGGTGAAATTTAAGGAGTCCTTAGGCCAGAATATAATTTTGCTCATGGTGGTTATGCTCCGAGAGTACCAACTGTTCTGACCAAGGGTGTAAGCATGGCTACTATACGGCTGCGAATGAGAACATGAGGAAGATGATGGTGATGTGATGACGATGACCATTGCGACAGAAAACTCTGATAGAATACCAGAACGTCGATAGCGGTGTTTGTAATGATGGCCACCATGGCTGTGGAAGACTGCTGCCAAAGGGTGGGCTTCGGAGAGAGGTTCATCTTAGTATTCCTTGTTGTATTCCGTATACTACCCCATATGCCGCATAGTAACCCCTATTACGTGTAGTATTCATGATGCATTCCCCTTACTACCCCGTGGGAAAAATAGTAACCCTTATTATAGTAGTCCCGATAGTGCTCCGTAGGCTTTGCGATGTGGCACTTTGACGCTTGGGTGGGTCGGGCGTGCGCCGAGTGCTGAAATCTCCGAACCCGTATACTAGGGGGTTTGGGGTTTCAGGGTTTACGGTTTTAGGGTTTAGGGTTTAGGGTGCAGGATTTAGTATGCAGTACCCATAAAAAGGAATATATCATGATTCGCAGAGCTCAGGGCCCTTAATGTCACCAACTCAACCAACAGTAGGACATGGAGCCATGTCGATTAGAATCGGGTTGCGTTTGGTTTTGCAGGGGGGTTATGTTTATTCGGGTTTTGCATCCGGGCCCTGGTGGATGAAGGTAGGTGGAATAGGGAATAGGGGCATGGTAGGTATACAGGAAGACAAGGAGCTTCTACAGTGTTCTGAATCAAGTTACACCTTAGAGCTCCCAATTCTCATTAGAGCACAGTACACCCTAACCAGACCGGAACCTTGAACTCTGCAAGTGTACGTCCGAGGCCTAAACCCTCGACGCTGTAACAGCCGCAAAGAAACCCAAACCCTATAACCCTGCACATAGGCCATAAGACCTTGACCTTTGTCCCGTAAAGGCTTTTCCTGAAAGCCCCAGAGCCTAGACCCTCAACCCCAAACCATCCTAAACCATGAATCACACTACAGCCAAAGCCCTAAAAACAATCCAAACCCCCAAGCCCTACAAGCCCCAACACACAACCCCTTCCGAAATCGAATTGCCCTAAAAGCCCTTAACCAGAAACCTGAAACCCTATAAGCCCTATAAGCCGTAAACACAACCGTTTCCGAGATCGAACTGCCCTAAACACCCCAAACCAAACCCCAAACCCTCAACCCTTTTAGCCCTAAAGCACAACCCCTTCCGAGATCAAACCGCTAAACCAGAAACCCTACACCCTACAAGCCCTATAATCCCTAAAACAACCCAACCCCTTTCGAAATCGAACCGGGCAACCCTATATAAGCCCTAAAACACAACTCGGACAGAAATCTTTCCCGAGGCTGGCGGCTTACAGGCTGCTGGTCGCCTCAGCGTCCGGCGCTCACTGTCGGGGTTTAGGGTTTCTTAGGGTTTAGGGTTTTGGGGTTTGGTTAGGATGTAGAGGTTTACTAGGATGTAGGGTTTATAGGGTTATGGAGGTTTAGGGGGTTGGGGTATAGGGGTTAGGGGTTTAGGGTTTAGGGGTTTACCTATAGTCTTTCCATTGTAGTTCTTTTTTGGGCTGCCTTACAGGATCCTACACATGAAGGTGGCTAAGCCCCCCAAAAAGGAACTACAACGGCGACTACAGGTGCGAGTTTAGAGTGTATGGGTTTAAGGGGTTCCTTTAAGGGTTCCTACAGTTCCTACACAAGGGTTCTACGTTTGTTCATGCGTTTACATGTGTTTAGGGGTTTTCGGTTCAGTGTTTGGGCTTTCACAGCTATTGGGGTTTTAGGTTTGGGCGTTCAGTCCTGTTAGGTGTTAGGCTTGGGGTTTTTGTCCATGGGCGTAAGGGTAACTCAGCTGTTTGGCTTTACGGTCTTGGTGGGGCTCAAGGGGCTTTTGCATCGGCTAAGAGGGGACGAAAGGACATAGGGTAGAGGGTATCAGGGTTGGGAGTTTGCAGGCGTTTGCGGCTTAGTGCCGCGATTGGTACAAACCCGGCACATATGCGCTAACCACAAGATCTCGAATGAAACCGCAATCAACAACACTGATTACTAGTAAGATGCCAACGCCCCTCAATCCTGCAATGAGCGCCTAAATGCCGATTTCATGCAAGACATTTCTTCATGCAGCGATTTGATTTTGACACTGTTCACTAGGCTTTTCCGCAGGTTGTGAACCTGCTTACGAACCCCAATAAGTCCTATCGGAGAGAATGCGGAAGCGGAGGCTCATAAAAAAAAATAAAACAGAGTCTGCATATCCATATGGGTTTCCCAAGCACTCAACCCTGAACCCTCATCATAAACCCTAAGCCGCTCATGCAACCCTATGTATAAGCCCGGTTGCATGCATCATGCAAACTTGCAATGCAAGCTTGCAAGGGTGGACTGTACTTGAAGGTTCACGGGTAGTTATAAGTGAGGTTATAAGTCCCTTAATATGAATTATAAGTATAGTTACCCTACTTATCACCCCCCCCCTTTTTGCTACCCATGAACCTCCAAGGAGGGCCTCCAACACTGCAATAGTCGGCGGTGTAGGGCTTAGGGTTCAGGGCTCCCCGCCGAGCGGATCGATTACAATTGGAAAAATCTTACGACGGTCGAAGACCCTTCGGTTTGGGGATTTGAGGGGTTCCAAGGAAATAGAAAACGGCAAAAAGGCACGGCAATTCGGCCAGTCGCGCGTGCAGGCTGTACCGGTCTACGTCGTGGAGGAGCACCACGAGGCTTGCTTGGGGCTATATGATGAGGCACAAGGTTCGCCGTTCGCGGCGGTCGTGGTTGGATTCGAGGCATTGGGCTCGGCGGGGTTTATGAGGTAGCTGTGTGCTGCTTCGAGAATCCAGATTGGAAGGGACCGAAACTCCATTAGTTCCCGAAGCCAATGCCCTGAAGATACCCTACACCCTAAACCCTAAACCCGAAGCCAAGTCTGAAACCATTAGCCTCAATATAAAGGGCAGAAGACCCCATCGACAAAGACTCGCCGACCGATGGCTGCCAGATGACTTCCGGTTTGAGGGGTCTGGGTTTGAGGCTTGTCAACATGAGGGTTTGATGCTCATATAGGGTGCAGCAATTTAATGCGATTCTTTAGGACCCCTGTAGTACAATGATGATTTGGCATTCCCCCAAACGCTGTTCAAATTATGACGGTCCCTATATGGGTAGTTCTCTAAATTAGGGTCCCTTTTACAAGTTTATCCGTACTATATGTTGGGATCTAAATAGGCCCTAATGCAGAGAGCTACCCCTCTTAGGGTAGAAGCCAGAAAGTTGGAACATGGGTTTAGGAGGGTTATACTTTACCTTAAGGGCATGGGGATAATGATGTTCCAACTTTCTGGCTTCTACTGCACGAGCCCTAAACCCTAAACCTTCAAGCCAGGTTTAGAGCTGTGGTCCCTCGACCAAGCTCGACACCTTGCGGTGACCAAAAGACACGACTGTAGGAGCCCTGAACCCTAAACCCTTAAGCCAGTATTTGTAAGTCAGACGGCGGGCTGACATCAAAAAGGAGCTCAAAAAAAACACCTTAAACCAGGTTTCGGCACGGTATTGCAGGCCTTCGGGCCCCCAAGTTTCTCTGTCCGGGGGGGACTCTTAGAAGGCCAGGTGCCTGAGAGCAGTACCCTTAAAGGCCCCTTTATAAGGATCCCCAAAAAGGGCTCTAAACGGATCCTTAAAGGGTTCTATAAGGTACTAGGATCTATAAGGTACTAGGTTCCTGAGCAGTGCCCTATATGTTGCTCTTTTAGTTAAGGTCCCCTTATTGACTCCGAATACTAAGGAAAAGGGTAGCCTGATTATGAAGGGGCTACTCAGGAACCTAAATGGCATCCCAAATTCCTGCATCTTCAAGTTCTACGCCCTTGGCTTTATCGAGGTTGTTATGGCTCTACATGAGAGTTCTATACGTTTCATCAAGGTTTTAGAGGTTGGGCTTTATGTGGCTTCGTTTGCACGGCTTCGCACAGGTTTTTAAAGATTTGGGAAGAGTAGCAGACCCTAAACCCTAAAGCAAGCAGGTGTTGCCCTACTGGCGCGCAGTGGCGGATGTAGCCGGCACTCGGACAGTGGGCCATGCCCTCGCGCCTCGCAAGATATCATTTTGACGGTTGCAAGGAGTTTTGGCGGCTACTTGGAGGCTCGTGGGCAGTCATAATTAGGTCTAAGTGGTGTTAGAAGTCCCCTGTTATGGGTCATAATTATCTATAAGTTCCCTACGTACAACCCTACTTATCGCTACCCGTGATCCTCCAACTGATGGTCCAGGGTTGTGGGATGAGGGTTGAGGGCCTTCCACTAGAAATCATCTTCTTTGAGGTTCCTGTTGCTGGAAGGACTCCGTTTTGAAGGTCGGGTGTATGGTTTTAGGGTTCAGGGTGCGAGGTTTGGGGCTGTCGGGATGACGGGACCATTGTAAGGGGTTTGCACCGGCGGTGATGTTTGGGCTGGCGGCTAGGGCTCGGGGCTTCGTGCTTTAAGCGTAGGAGTTTGGGGTTGTTGCGGAAATGGTTTGACCCGTTGTAGTTGGAATCCCAGACCCGTTCTCTGCTGTAACCCAAAGCCACGCTGGCAGGTTCACTTCGATGCTCATCCGGACATGGCCGTCGCGTGCGGGCCCCCAATGCCTGCGAGAGGGGTTTACCCATAGGCTCCACAGTAGTTCCTTTTTGGGATTACCTTAATTATAGGATTCTAAATTTTAGAATCCTAAAAGGAACTACTACGGAGCCTCTAGGTAGGGCCCCAAAGTGAGCCGTCCAGCGCAAACCTGTGTGTTCTGAAACCGCTGCAGTGCCGAGTGTTGTAGAATATTGCGGCCGTGCATCCGGGAGGTGCAGGCGTTTGGTTTCGGGGTCTGTTCAAAGAAACATTTAAAGCCACCTTAAACCACTAGACCCAACAAATCTAAACTCTGTGGCTAGTAAACCCTGAACCCTGAACAGCTAAAACCTGACTATAGTATACAGCCTTACAGATCCCTTACTTGGAGGGTCGGGGGACTTAGTAAGTAGGTAGTAGGTAGACTTATAAGTACCCTAAAAGGGACCCCAATTGGGGTTATGGTACTTGTAAGTCCCTAAAATAACCAGTTACTAAGTCCCCCGACCCTCCAAGTACAGGAGCCCTGATACTCTGAGCCGAGGCCCGAAGCAAGGCAGAATGCAGATCCGTAGGTCCATCACAACACATCTCGGGTTCAGCGGTTTAGGGTTTAGGGGCTACTACTTGAACGTCCATGGGTGGGATTAAAAGTATAACCCTAGATTAGGAAACTTATACTCTCACTTGTAACTTATAACTATAATAGACCCTGAACCGCCAAGCATAACATATCCATCTCTCTTACTCCGTTGCCTCTCTGCTTTTGTCTATGCATACGATTTGTCAGCCCCGGTGTAGACTTCCTTTCTGCTGCTGGCATTTTGGGCCCCCACACGCGTACATCCACAACCACCCCGCGCACAGACGCATGCACAGCTCGTACAATGTTTGGTTTGCTGAGCGTGTTTCGTTTCCACAGCCTGCCCGAACATGTTCTACTCGTGCTTCGAAGCGACTTTGCAAGTTGCGCTATGGAGCACCTAGGTCCCGCAACAGTATACCCTGGAGCGCGCTTTTTTTAGAACCCTAGGGCTCCAAGTATACAAATAGTACCTGGTACTAGTAGGGAATGGAGGAATGGTGGGGCATCTTGACCCCAAGCTCTTACCTTTGGTTAGTAGGGAATGGAGGAATGGGGGTATAATTATAAATTAGAGCTACTATTTCTACCATTCTTCCATTCCCCACTAACCAAAGGTAAGTATTTGGAGCCCGGGCTATGGGGCTCGTCGGGTTGGGCGGGTTGGAGCCTCGGGCTACTGAATTCCTGGAGCCGTGACCCACGAAAGATGGCAGCCCTCCGAAGCACCTTTACTTAGAGTAGGGTTCCTTTAAAGGGGTCTATAAGGATTACCATAAGGGCGACTATAAGGATTTAGTTTAGTGGCTAAAATAATTATCAATACTGTTTTGGAGGTTCCTTATTATATCTTGTTAGAATTATTGTATAATGGGCCCCAAAACCCTATTCTGATTATTAAGGCCCCTATATATTGCCCTCCGAAGCATCTTTGTGTTTGGGGCTTAGGGCGGACGCCCTAAAGATCTATACCAAAAAGTTCAATCTCTAGACGCCGAAACCCTAAACCCGAAACCCTACCATGCACTCGCTAAGCCACCGTTCCCAAGACGGCAAGCCACAGGAGTCCCGCCAAAGGCGACGACTTCGGCCTGACCAGCAATGATGAACCTCTTCTTCCTTAGGGTTTTCGGGCATGGGCTACAAGTGGGGCCGCAAGTCCCGTAATAACATGGGTTATAGAACAGGTTCTACCCTGCTCCTACACTTATAACTACTCATGAACCTCCAAGCGCGGGCCGGGTTCTGTGGTGCAAGTTCTAGCACTCGGCGTTGAAATTGTATATAGTACGAGGCTTGTGAATTTCTTGTCTGGGTGACTGTTACATAGTTGCAGGTTCTGGGTCTTCGTGTTTTAAGGGTTTTCGAGCCTTCGCAGATGTTTGAGCCGAGGTTTGACGACCCCGTACCGTCATGGGGAAACTTTCGGAATCACAAAGCCCTATAAGCCTGAACGACCCCAAGTGGATCAGGGGCTCTTGAGCTTTGGGTTCAGGGCTTGGGTTAATTACAAGGCTCACCAACTTGAGGTCTGGGTTTGGGATCGGGGGTTCAGGTGCTCTGGATCTAGGTTTATAGGGTTTAGGGTGTTGGATTCAAATTTACGGGTCATATGCTCTGATCTCTTACCAGGCCATGTGGGAATTTGCAGGGCTATTACAGTCTACACATCGTCGAGAAGGTGGCTGGCTTTTACCATCACGGTTGCGAGTTTTACTACACTGCAGTGACCTGATTGAGATACGGACCTGAGCAACTGTTTTTGGGTTGCAGTATCTCTTTCTGGTCCCGGTCAGTCTTGTCGCTAGTGTCATCACGGATTATTGCTGCCATGGCGATGCACACTATGCCGGCGAGCTGGATGACGACGTTGATGACGATGCTGTCTTGGTTGATGAGGATCACGACGCAATGGCCACTGCTGCTACTTTATCTACTAGCCCTTGCCCTGATAACCGCTTGTTTCACTTGCGGTCAATCGGATCTTCCGTTTGTCGGATGATGGCCTTGCTGATGACACCGTCTGCTGCTTGTGTACGTAAAGTCGGCGTCCTTTCCAGAGCCATCTGGTGCCCACCGAAGGTGGACCCTGGTAAACAGCCATCACGGCTTTCTCCTTCGGGATCTCGCAGAAGTCGCGACAAATGGTAGAGTATCATGGCGAAGAGTGGTGCAGCAGGCACTGCCTCACGCCGAAGCCACACTCCGAACTTCTGGCTGTGCACCTGATCACTGGAACCTAAACCCTAAATCCTAAATCCTAAACCTTCAACCCTAAACCCTACTCTGAAAGCCCAGACACAATCTCAGGATCGGGAGAAAAAAACTCTCCAACGTAGCACTGGGCACGACTCGACTCTAGCGGATTGCACCGCGAAGCCGTTTCACCATAGACCGTAAAGTTTCAACACTAACTAAATTTATACCCGTAGCCCTAGATCCTCAAACTTGGAGTGTCGGGAGACTTAGTAAGTAGGTATAAGTAGACTTATAAGTATTTTCCAAGGGACCGTGATTGGGGTTATGGTACTTATAAGTCCCAAAAATAACCAGTTACTGAGTCCCCCGACCCTCCAAGTAAACCCTGAGCCCCAAGCCTCAAACCCTAAGCCCCAAACCCTAAACCCTAAACCCCTACACCCTAAACCCCTAAACCCTAAACCCCTTAAAAACAAAAAAGAAAACCTAAGCCCCAAACCCCTAAAAACCGGCTAAGCCCAAGCCCAAGGAGTTCATCTTCGCGGCAGCAAGCCAGGCTGGTCTCTTACCTAGACTAGGATGCCCAGTAGTAGGGGTACCTTTAAAGGGATCTATAAGGGCTCGTTAAAGGGATCTATAAGGGTTCTATAAAGGGTTTAGGGTTTCCGAAAATTGGGGACTAGGATGCCCAGTATTACCCTTATTCCCTTTTTGTAGTCCTAGGTTACTGGGTATCCTAGATAAGGATGCAGGGATTTAGGGTTTAAAGTGTAGGGTTTTAGGGCATTAGGTTTCGGGTTTGGGTTTTGGGTTTTTGTTGGTTGAGGGTTGAGAAAGGACCCGGTGAGAACCCTTATCAAAGCATCTTAATTATAGGGGTTTTGCCTCACCGATCCTGCCGAAGCATAGCCATCTCGCGATTTTCGGGAGAGTCATGAGGCCTCAGAGGTTTCCGAACGAATCTCTAAACCCTGAGTCCTAAGTTGTCCCAGCCCTAAACCCGGTTTACCCCAGAATTCGAACGGAGCTCCAAAGATACAAAGGGCCTCGTGGACCGCTTCATCTGGATTTGGCCCGCCTGGGATGCCCGCGGCAAGCGACACAAGAAATACGGACGCTTGGCAGACCTTCTCTCTCTCTCTCTCTCTTTCTCTCTCTCTCTCTCTCTCTCTCTCTCTCTGTCTCTCTCTCTCTCTCTCTCTCTCTCTCTCTCTCTCTCTCTCTCTCAACCCTAAACCCTAAACTCTAAACCCAAACCCTCTATTCTAAGCCCTTTAACACTGTACTCACCCTTTTTACTTGGGTAAAGGGATCCCCAATCTCGAGACGCATTAAAGAAAACCCTGATCCCCGAAGAGCTGGGGTTTGGGGCTTTTAGGATTGGGGAGTTTCCCAAAAAAAGAGGAAAAGGAGGGACCCTTATATAATGGGGACCCCCTCCCTATAATGGCTATACCATGGGTATTTAATTGCTATATGAAGGGTATATACCTTGGGGTCCTTGTTAAGGGTCCCTCCTTGTACCCTTGGATTCCAAAAATAGGGGACTCTATAGTACCCCAAATAGTAGGATCCTTATTATAAGGACCCCTAAATAAGGCACCCCTATTTTCGGAAACTCCAGTTTAGGGTTTTGGGTTTACCCTGAGAGATCCAAATCGTCCTTATTTATGGTTTCTGATACTTGAAAAGGAGCTACCGTCCTATAAGAGGGAGTACTTGGACGCTCTGGGTTAGGGTTTAGTTTTAGGGTTTATAGAGGATTTTTCTCCACATTAGGCCCCTGTCAGGTCAAAAGAAAGCGCTCCTGTAAGAAGGGCGCGCGCTTTTGGGAACCACCCATTCTGCTTGTGATTAGGGCAGTTTCCGGCTGCTTCTGCATACTTATGAGTTGAATCATCAGCGCTTCGGCACGGTTTCGATTTAGGGCTTGGTTTCCCCTCGCGAAGGTGATGTTCGCATCGTTTGGTCCACACTTGGCCACACTGATGACGACTTGCCCTGCATCTGTGAGACAAAGTATGCCGTGGAGGCCAGCAGTTGTCCAGGTTCTAGTCATAGCAGGCTCTTAACACTGACGCCAGGCACCGGTGAAGGATCACTAGTTGCGAGCTGTCTTGTGCTTTCAGCATGGCCCAACCCTACGTGAGATTTTCTCTAAACTTGAAGCACTCAGACAACTTGTCCCGACAGTACCCTGCATGGTTCCCTCATAGTACCCTCATGCTGTTTTCCAGTACCCATCGCGGAGCTCGCGATCACAGAGTCACCAGTTCTGGGTATCACAACTACCCCAAACCGTAGCCCTCAACCGCATCATAAAGAAGCTCGTTGCCATTCTACGAACAGGTATACTGCTAGAAGTTTCAACATCGGGTGTCTGATCCCCTAAGTCCCAAATGTTCCTGAAGCGAAGGCCAGTCGAGTCTAGTCTAGTATAGTTAGTCCTGATGTGTGCAGTATAGTCTAATGGTATGGTGCCGTCTACAACCCCATCTCTTTCAGGAGGCTGAGTTTTTTTCCGACCCGCTCGGCTGGCTTCTTGGCTGTGCACTTGGGTAGTTCTCTGAATTGGGGTCTTTTTTTCGCGGGTTTGTTCTGTCACCTCCTGGATGCTTGAGAGGGCCAGCCCCGGCAACAACGGCGCTTTCTCAGTGCATTGCAAGAGAGCAAAAGTTGCTGTGGGCGGGGAGATAGTAATTTACAAAGCTGGATTTGAAGCCGGAAAGTCTGAGTCTGAATAAACCCTGCCCCATAGGCCCCATAGTAGTTCCTCTTTGGGATTACCTTATTATAGGATTCTATATCTGAGCCTCATAAAATGGAACTACTTTGGGGCCTTTGGGTAAAGCCATCATCCAAGCTTTTGCTTCTGTGCGAGCGGTTGAGGCAGTTTTTCAGATCACATAGCGCTGGCGGCCAAAGTTCTACGCTTCTCGGCCTGCTGGTACCCTAAACCCTAAACCCTAAACCCTAGTTTCTGTGTTTGAGACTTGTTGGGTTTGTTGCATGCTGGGCGCCAGGCGAGACGTGTCAGATTTTGGTCTAGGGTGCCCGGAGACTCCAATACTAATACCCTTTAACTACGGAAAAAACTTTAAACTAAAATAGGATCCCTGATATGATTTAAGGAATATTCCCGAATTAAGGGATATTGGAGTCTCTGGGTTTAGGGTTATGGATCGAGTTCTAAACTCCAGACTCATGGAGATCAGTGCAAGTAAGGATGTGGCTTTGTGTTTCCAATCGTCGTTGTGCTTGGACGTTGGCGGCTTACACCCCTAAACCCGTGAAACCCAAATCTAGGGCCTTAAAAATACCTACACTATTTTAGGCGTGCCTCATAAACAAGTATTACAGTATCATGGGCCCCAAAACCTTATTCTACTCATTCAGGCCTCTTTTTTTACACACCCTACGTCTGAAGCCCTAAGCCCAAAACCTTAAGCCCAACCCTAATCCTGGGCTGGCCGAAAGCCTCACGAGAAGAGTTTGGAATTCTGTGCTTTCCGGCTGCTTCGATCTTCCTGCAGCTATCTACAATGGTTGTGCAACCGAATGAAAGTTGATATAGGTGTTGGGTTAGCGTTTAGGGCTTGGGGCTTATGGGTTATATATTCCCAACAACGAGATGTCAATATCAGTGAGCATCAACTGCGCCGTTCCGAACGTTCTGTGCGCTCTTTATCGCTCATCTACAAGATGACCGTTTCAAGGGTCCACTTCCCCATAGACGCCTTCACAGGTCCTCCGCACAGAACCATTGAACCTCAACTTCTGCACCTTACCCAAAGGCCCCAAAGTAGTTCCTTTTGGGGGTTCATATATAGAAACCTATAAGGTAATGCCAAAAGGGAACTACTTTAGGGCCTCTGGGTACTGTATGTCTTTTGACTTCTTATGCCTGCTACCCTAAACACACCAAGCGCGCCACGCAGGATGCCCCAAACTCGACACCTTAAACCCTATATATCCTAACCCTTACGAACCTCTAAAAAGCCCGAATTATTAACTTTAAACCTTAGACCCTAAAACGGCCAACAGAGGCCGAAGTGCGAGACCTCCAGCGAGAAAGCACTTGAGCGCGCAGCTTGGTGACGCCAGAAAGCCATTGGTCTCCGGTAGAATTATATAGTAATTCGAACAGGGTTTGGGGATATAGTATACTATGTATAAGGAATATAATGAGGAGCCCCAAAAGCCCTATTCTAACAATTAAGGCCCCTACATTACCTAAAGTAATGGGTTACTGGGTTAACGGTTTAGGGTTTAGGGTGGCTTAGGGTTCAGGGTTTATATAGGGTTTAGGGTTTCAGGTGCGGGACATAGTTTGAAACGCTGCGCGTCGTCCGCCTCGGCCCGGCTGTACGCGCATGCGGCGAGTGGCTACTATCTGCAGCAAGCTCTTGTAGGAAAAAAGTAACAGTTGGAATCGCACTTATAGTAAAAGTAATGTTCATAGCAACACGAAGCAGGATGATTGTGAGTAGTATTAGTAGTGGTAGTATCAGTACGAATTTTGGTGTCGCCATTCCGAAACACTGGATACCAAGACTCTCGCAAGCGGCGGGATGCCTTAAGTATGGGCCGTTGAGGCTGTGGATTTCGTGGGCGTCTTGGATTAGGGTAGCATCACAGCCTTTTCAACCACGTTACTCCACGAAAGGGCGTCTAAAACAAGCCTGAGACGCACATAAAGATGCTACATTGCAGTCCCGTGTCGTCGAAAACTCCGAAAGCTCGCACCTGTCAGCGAGCGGAGGGAAAGGGGAGTGGGGGGGGCGGGAGGGGGGGGGGGGGGGGGGGGGGGGGGGGGGGGGGGGGGGGGGGGGGGGGGGGGGGGGGGGGGGGGGGGGGGGGGGGGGGGGGGGGGGGGGGGAGAAGGTGGGGGCGTGGGAGTGAAGAAAATTGGGTGGGACTGCCTACAGAAAGCCAAAATCCACTGGAGAAAGCGAAAATTAACCTCCGGACCTTGGGGCTCATCGGCACGTTTCCATTTTTAAGGGGGCGGGGGGGGGCGTGGCCACGATTTTGGGGAGGGGATTAAGAGGTGGGGAATAGGAGAATCCGAATAGGAACCTCTGACCGCTTCGGCCGGGGCCGAGGCGAATATAAGTTAGTAACCATGTTAAAAGTTACCTACTATTTACGTAAGTGGAGCCGATAGAAAAGATCGGTTCGGTATTTGGTTCATGTGAGGATCCCTTCAAATTTTAGGGTCTTGGGTTTAGGGTTCCTTCAGAAGGGTCTAGAAGCGGGTTTATGACGACCTTTATTGCGTCTGGAGGTTAAGATAGAGTTTGAGTTTGAGGGTTGCTGTAGAAGGGTTTGCACAGGTTCTGTTACTCTAGCTTCTATATACAATTCCTCAAAGAGGTTGGTGGTTCGGGTCATGGTTTGGGGTTACAGGGCTTTGGGGTTGCTGTTTGAGGGCTCAGGGTTTGAAGCTTCAGGCTCGTAAGTTTCAGTGTGAAGGCTAGTCTCTAATTATAGGCTGAATCCCAAATCCCTTGCCCTAAGGGTCCATGTGCCCAAATAGTATATACTTTGGGACCAATGTACCTCATACTTTAAGGACAATGTATATACTATATGAGTACATGGACCCTTGGGGTTGGCCCCAAACCCTAAAACCCCAAACCCCAACATCTAAAACCCGAAGTCCCGTAACCCTGAAACCCTAAGCCGACGAAGCCCCGCGGGTCTCTTGGGTGGGGAGATAAACCTCAAACTACCCTATTTTGATTTTCTGTAGGTTACTGTTCTAAGCCCAAATTCAAGTAGGTTGTGGTAGTTGAAGGTAAGGCCTATGTGGCCGAGTGCTTCAGGGTTAAACTTTGCGGTTGTGTGCTGCAGCTCCAGTACCGACCGTACTTGGTAGAAGCTAGTTAACAGTGGTGACTTGTGTGCTTTCTAGTAGTCTTGGTACGTTGTTGCACAGAAAACCTGTTTCGGCTTTTACATGGAAGCGCATGAGTAGCGGAAGCATGCACTGCTGTACCAACATGTCGCATTCCCTGAACGCTACACCCTAGAGGCCCTAGACAGTGGTTGTCAAGATTTGGGATATCCTGCTCTACTTGGAGGTTCATCGGTACTTATATGTGGAGCAAAAAGTGTCACCCGTGTCAGGGGACTTTATGAGCCCACTTATAACTACCCATGAACTTCCAACTGTGCATGTTGTAGGGATCGGAAGTAGTAATATTTTCCCTGAGGCCCTTTCGAAGTATCGAACCCACCCCCTGACAGTAACCCGTTCCCATGTGACGAAGCTGATGATTCCATAAACCCTAAACCTTAAACTTTTTGGAAGGCCTGACCCCGCTGAGCATCCCCTACACAAGTTGCGGCACCCAACCCAATTTATGTATCTACGGGTCAGGCTGTAGGACGTAGCGTGGTACCTTAAACCCTAAGTCCTAAACCCTCCTAAACCCTAAACCGTGGTGCCCGCGATCCGAGCACCTGGTACACAATACCAAGCATTTGTCTGCTCCAAGGAGGCGGAATGCATCAAGGAGCGGACCTTGATGCAGGCCATCGCAGGGTTGACGGTCGCCCTTGAGGATCGTGGGACTTAGTACCTACAGTCCATGGTTGTGAAACACTAGAATTACACGGCAGGTATAACCTTACTAAGACTCATGACCCCTAAACCCTAAAACCCTAGAGCCCTAAACCCTGAATTCCTAAACCCTGTAAACCGACACCCTGGACCGCCAAACCCTAAACCCTGAGCCTGCAAACCCCAAGGAGCCTGCTTGAAGAAGCTTATGACAAAGTTTAGGGTTTAGGGTCATGTCCACTCCTAAAGTCTCCTCAGTATATTTGGTCATTTTTCTTCATATAAAGTTCAAGAGAATATTGATTATGTCATGTCTATTATGGTTCTGAGGGGGTTATAGACTCGAAGCGGCTCAAGAACCCTTTGGTTTGTATCAGGGCTCAACGGCGAAGCTAGTAGGGTTTACTATACAGTGGCAGAAGTTGTGTGCTTTTGTTTGGGTTTAGGGTTCAGAGTTTGCACTTCACGATTTTCGGGATGCTTGTCCAACCCTGTGTCAGGTATTCATCAACGAGCAGATGCTTGGCCTCATTTTGCCTGGTCCTGCTGCAGCTGGTATAGGGGCCTGAATTATGAGAATAGAGGGTTCTGGGATACCTCAGACTATAATCTTCTGCGCATTAGGGGGATTATTTCCAAAAGCTTCAACCCCATAACATGCCATGTCGGGCTGTCGCAACAGCTTTAACCCGAACCTTCAACTTTATCCTGCGTCCATGCATCGAAAGGCCCTGCAAATTGGTGAGTTCGGTTGGGCTATGGATAAGCTGGAGGTTTAAGCTTTATATATCCCTGAACATGTGCCTCTTCTTCAATTTCCGGAGTGCATGACTCCCGGGTGTCCTTCACACTTTGGGGTACTGGGTTCCCATTTGGAGTTCATGAGTTTCGCTCAGCATTCGAGTTTGCGGTTTGGACTAGATTCAGAAATCTGGAGATGGGTGCCAGGTTGAACTTGCTCCGTCGCGGAAGCCTGCGAACCCAAAACTCATAAAAAGATAATGTGACGGTTGTGTGTGAAATTGATGAAATTTCTGGGTTGTTTGCTCCAATGGCCTTGATGATTGTCTCTTCGAGTTCAAAGATACGGTAGCACGCACCCCAGAACATCCCGGCACCTTGCTGTAAGCATGCCAGCCGCTGTGCTACAAGTGGTGCCTAGGCTACACCCACACGACAAAACCAAGAATCGTCTCTGGAGTGCAGCCTCCACGATAAAGCCTGCACTCCGAAACCGTGAGCCCTACACCCTAAATTCTAGCCTGTAGCCCACGGACCCAGAAACCCAAACCCGAAACTCTTAGACCCTAATTAAACCCTTAAATTCGTAAGACCCTAACATAACCCCTAAATTCCTGGAACCCTAGAACCTCCATGGTAAGGACCTTGAAGAAAATAGAAGCCTGGTGGCCATCCCTGCTTGCGCCGCCGCTGATCCTGGATATCGACGAGGACGGATGGAGATTGGAGGATCTGGGTTGCCTCCCTAAGCCCTAAACCCAAAACCCTGGCGAGATTCCACGGCTTAGTATGGTTTAGAGTTGCGGGCTTATGATTTAGGGTTCAGGCTTCAGAATCAGGGTTTCCGGGTTTGGGTTTCAGAGTTCAGGGTTTAGGGTTCAGGGTTTATAGATCCGATTGCGAGGATCACTTTGGCCAAAAAGCTTCTGCGAGTCTACTACACGAAATGAAGCAGAGGCGTCTCGGCAGCGATCTTCAAAGAAACTCTTCACACACCCTCTTTACGGTAGTACCCGGCTTGGATACCCTCATTTCTGGCCATGATCATTCAAAAACGCAAGTTAACCAACACGCACACTGCAATCGAGGGTCTAGGTTGGCGTTTGTGTGTGTGTGTGTGTACATATATATATATATATATATATATGTGGAGGTAGGTTATCGTAGGTTGCCCCTTAACCCTAAACCGTCTTGACACTCCGTAGGTCTACTGGAGAGCACGCTAAAGGATTTTGCCAGGAGCTGGGTATGTGTAACAGAAGAGTCGACGAAACATTTACAGGTGTGTCGGTGTATACAAGGTAGCAACCCCATCATCAACAGTCATGGCATGAACAGAACCACAGGTAATAGTAAGAGGAAGGTACAGCATGCTAGAAAGAAACGGACCGTCGTGTCTCGACATGGGAACCCTACCCTTGCTCTGTGTATGTATGCTGGGTTGTTTTCTGCTTTCTGCAGGAGCATATGTCATGCCAAACCTAGCTATTCTGCAGTCTTGTGCAGCATGGTTAGTCGAGTCTACCAAATTTCCATGAACGCCATCATGCATGGCAATGTCGCGAGCACAGGAGGACGACCAAAAAGAATAGATGTCGCACTGCATTCTGCAGCACATGGGACGAAGATGCACATAAGTGGAGCATACCATGAACGGCTAGAGTCTAGAGAGTGTGTTCCACGTGTTGACAGTGTGTCACGAGTACGGAGGTGCGTTCAGAAGTTAATTGTTTCATGCGGTTATAATGAGTGGAATAGAATGAAGCGGAAGCATGAACCGCATGAACCAATTAAACGAAGGAAACGAGCCATTGGGATTTATTACTGACATTAGTTGTAAATATTTATTACCTAATCCTAGTTCTTGGAGATTACAACTAATATCAGTAATTAAACCCAAAGGAGAAATCATTCATCATCTGTGTCCTTGGTTCGTGTGTTGTGTGGCTTTAATGTGTGGAAGTTTCGTTACAGTTTATGACGCCAGAATTCAAGAACTTTATTGTTCGTGCAAAGTATGTCCGTACCATGAGAACGAACAATATTCAAGTTCCTTAACATGCCTCCAAAAACTCTGGCAGAGCCTCTAATTACCCTGTCCTGGTTTGTGTCGGCGCATGTCGTTCGGGGTGGATGTAGGGTTGAGGGTTGTGGGTTTAGGGTGGGCTGGAGAACCGCTTCCACACCCCGACACTGCGTATCTCGAAGACATCGAAACCATCCTGCACGAATGATGTTCAAACTGGCATCCTACGAGTCCTACACCCTGCAAACCATGACCCTTCTGCTCATCTCAAAAGCTGCGTTGAATTTCGAACTCTTTCTTGTCTCGTACAGTATGTATACCCATTGTGCGTATGTAGATTGACATTGATTGGCATGTCAAAGGGCAGTCAAAAGGACTCATTGATAAAGCACGGCTGTGCGCATGATTGTGCAGTAAAAACGGTTTAGACCGCGAATCCCAATACCCTGAGTGTCAACCATAGGCCTTGCAAGATCTGAGCGCGGAAAAGCAAAAGCACCCTTCCGTGCGCAGACTGCGGGACCCTCTGAGAGATCTCTCTTGCCTGTTGAGTCTCAGCTGCAGGATTTATCATATATGGTACGGCTTTAGGTTAAGAATAAGGATCACAAACTATGGGAGTTATGGTATATATTCCCTATAATGCGTCATGCAGGATTTCTATCATCAACCGTTCTCGAAGCAAGAAGATGACTGGGACCTGCTGTGTGTCTTCACAACAAGCCTAATTTAGGGGCCTCAATAATTACCTATACTACTCGGGGGGTCCTGATTAGAATCATGGTATAATAAGGGGCCCCAAAGCCGTATTCTAATTATTACGGCCCTTATACAAAATCCTTACAGTAGCCCTTACAGTACCCTTACAGACCCCTTGAAAAGGAACCCTATTCTAATTATTAAGGCCCCTATATTATCCCCGAATCCCACAACATCTCCAAGCCCCAAGCCCTGAGCATCTCAGTAGGACCTCAGCAGTCGTTGTTGAATCGAACTAAAGTCTAGACCCTAAACCTTAAAACCGTATAGGATAAGATAAATAATGCATGTACAACCTCCATATATGTATGTGTGTGTGTATATATGTACTAAGATACTAACATATATATATATATATATATGCATATACTCTGTATATATATATATATATGCTCACACCCCCCCCCAAGACCTACCGCGAGGTGCTTCGGCTAGCAATGGGTAGTAGAACATGTAAGGATTTGAGGAAACCATTAGGATAAAATACACTCATACATAAACAATGGAAACATATATCGTGTATAATCAATAGCTGAATACACTGTAATGACCTACGACGGCGCGACATCGCCGTTGGTGGATTTGGGCAAGCTTCAATGCCTGCAATTGTTTAATAGGATACTGCCTACATGTTCCGGATATTCATAACTCTGGTCATATAATGACCATAGGCATAACCCGAAGACAGGACCAAGACAGAACAGTGTCTGCATCCTACGTAAGATCGTTAGATGCGCCGGGTAACTTTGTGTTTGTCATTGTCTGTTTTTAATTTTGTTTTTGTACTCATAGGCATAACCCAAAGACGGGACCAAAACAGAACGATGTGTGCATCCTACCTAGGATCGTAATGAGGGTTACATGTGCACACATGTTTATTTTGTGTGAAGCTCTTAGGTTACTCATGCGCCAATGTGTATAATAGCTATTACTAGTGCGAATACTAATACTGATACTAAGATTTCTATTCCTACGAATAAGGATATTACTGTTCATAACATAATAGGCTTAATGGTTAATACTAGTATTAAAAATTACACTACTAATTCGAATAGTAGTGCTGATGGGAATATTAACACTCCTGGGGATACTAATACGCATATTCTTATTAACTGTTCTCAATATGAATACTAATAGTACTAGTTGTTTGGAATACTAATACTTGTCCGAATATTCATACCAATACTCAGGCTACTGCGATTATACATAATAGGACATTAATATGGGTATTCGTATTAAGGTCAGCATTTCCTTCGAAAGTATTCATATGCGCATCATAATTCATCTTAATACTCGTACTGATATGAATTAGTATGATTACAAATACTTTTACGAAGACGGGTATTTTCAGTAATACCGATACTAATATGAATACTAGTGTTCCTACGAATATTAAAAAACATACCCATATTGATAGTAATTTTAGTAGTTATTTGTTACCAATATACACGCAAATGCTAACATCAATACTAATATGCACATAAGTGATACAGTTCCTCCGCAAATTAATGCGCATAGTCTTATTAATTATTCTCAGTATTTATATTCACATTAAAAAAAACCTACACTAACATGAATAGCAGTATTACCACTTGATACTCCAGCTAATACGATTATGCATAGTATGAACAGCGATACTGCTATTGATACCAATATTAATGCTCCTACGAATACTAATAATCACGTTCCAACCACATACAAAAAACAGACACAACAATGTACCAAAGAATCTGTATTTTCACATACCAATAAATAATATACTCGTATACTACTATTCCAATGTTACCATAGACTTACAAATACAGAATATACTGATATGAGACTATACACTGGTTAATATTAACGCTAAGAATAAGGAAGAGACTAAGACCAAGACTAATACGAATACTAAAACTCACACTAGACATTAACACTACCATTAGTACACCTATTGTATAGACTTATATTCAGACTAATACTAACGCTGACATTGGAATTGAAATTGACACTGACACCAACACTAACAGTAACACTAATCAACACGCTAGAACGCAGATACTAATACTAACACTAATGCCTAATGCAAATCTGAAGACTACTGCGCGTAAACAACGAAACCATTTCCGATCAAGCATGCTGCGCGCTGTATTGGCTCTAAGGCTCCGAGAACCAAAAATCCAAAAAACCAAAAATCCAAAACCTTTGTCAGGGGGTCGAAACTTTTGGATTTTTTGGTTTTCCTAGGGTTTTTTTGGTTTTCCAAGAGAAAACCAAAAAAATCCAAGTGTTTTTTGGTTTTCCAGCAGAAATCAAAAAAATCCAAGGTTTTTTTAGTTTTCCAGCAGAAATCCAAAAAAACACAGGTGTTTTTTTGTTTTTCACGAGAGACACAGCAGAAAAACCAAAAAAACCTTGTGTTTTTTTGGTTTTCCACCGACAAACCAAAAAAAGCTATGGTTTCGCCAAGGCAAAGCCCAAAAAACAAAAAAAGACCTAGGAAAACCAAAAAATCCAAAAGTTCCGGGCCCCTCAGAAAGGCTTTGGATTTTTGGATTTTTGGTTTTTTGGTTTCCGCCGAAACACCACAAAACCAAAAATCCAAAAAACCAAAAATCCAAAACCTTTGTCAGTGGGTCGAAACTTTTGGATTTTGTGGTTTTCCTAGTGTTTTTTTGGATTTCCAACAGAAAACCAAAAAAGTCCAAGGTTTTTTTGGTTTTCCAGCAGAAATCCAAAAACACAGGTGTTTTTTGGTTTTTCACGAGAGACACAGCAGAAAAACCAAAAAAGCCTTGTGTTTTTTGGTTTTCCACCGAAAATCCAAAAAAAGCCATGGTTTCGTTAAGGCAAAGCCCAAAAAACCAAAAAAGACCTAGGAAAACCAAAAAATCCAAAAGTTCCGGGCCCCTCAGAAAGGCTGTGGATTTTTGGATTTTTGTTTTTTTGGTTTCCGCCGTCGTATCGTATGGTTTCTTTTACTGTTTCTTGCTTATGAATACAGGCATATGAATTTGAAAGCGGACAGGAGTAGGCACGACGTTGTAAAGAGACATGACTTCACATCAGCCATGATAGAGAAGGTATCATATTTACAATGGAAAAGAGGCCGAGGTAGGTCATGGGGGGGGTGTGTCCATATATATATATATATACATATATATATACATATACACAAAACACACATACATATCTTGGTAGATAGATAGGTTGGTAGTCGCTCAACCTTGAGGCGAGAGTTGCTGTGAGCTTCGGTAGGAGCTTCTCGGAAACTTAGGAGGACCGGTTTAGCTCAGGGTGATGGGTTCCTATAGTCTCCCTAGGATGTTTTTCGCTATTATTTTGAAGTTTTGTGCACGCACAACCCAACAGAATATTGAATGCAGTATTCTCATTATGGTTCAAAGGGTGGTATAGTTAGGCTCAGGGACGCACGAAGTACCACTGTTATGAGTTTAGGTTATCAGGGCCTAGGGACGTAAGAATGATCAAAGAGCTGCATGTTGGTATCCCTCCTCACCAAGTATGAGAGCTGTGATGCGTCTGCCTTATGTCCCAGATGCTAGTTCGAAGCGAAACCCGTAATTAGCCCAGCAGCCCTCCCCGCCAGGACCTTGTTTTGGGAGGGACGCCCTGGTTAAGACTGCAGAAGGAAGGGTACCCGTAGTCTGATCGGGGAAACGTCAACACCCTCAAACAAACCTTCGTAAGACAGTTTCAGAACCCCTGTACCTGCCTGGAAACGCCCTGAAAGAAACTAATTCTTCAAGAACCCCGAAAAGGAAATCTTACAAAGCCCTGACTACAGGAATTGTAAAATTCGAAAGCTCAGCCCAAACCTAACACCCTAAACCCGAGAGGCCAAACCGTAAACCTAAACTCTAAGCCGCGAGCGCAAAAAAGCCGAAGTGTGATGGGCTCCTGACAATGCCAGAGGCTCCAACGCTCCTTCATTAAGGAATATTCCCTTTAATTAAGGAATATAATACCTTAACTTATAATAGGCACCTTAATATTATTTAAGGTAAAATATCTCTTGAACCAGATGAGGGCTCCTAATCAATTACAAGTTAGTGTATATATTCCTTAGTATTACTTAGTTAAAATGAGATGGGGCCCGCTGTCAATGAGGAACGTCAGCGAAGCGCATGTCTCCTGTCTGGGCATGTCATAAGGTTCTTGAGGGGTTTTACAGTAGGGTTTAGGATTTCGGGTTCAGGGTTCTTGAGTATGTCATACTAGGATGCCCAGTAGTACCCTTATTCCCTTTTGGTAGTCCTGGTTCCTTATAAAGTTACCCAATACCCAAAGGGGAGCCCTGTTTATTCCCAGGTTACTGGGCATCCTAGCATAAGGTTGTTCAGGGTTCTTGAGTTTAGGGTTTCGGGTTCGGGTTTTGGGTTTAAGGTTTCGGGTTTTGGTTTTTGGGTTTAGGAGGTAATGTAGGAACTCGATTAAGACACCTTGGGCCTTGATTAGGGTTCCTTATATGAATCCTATTATCTTGGGGCCTTTAAACTTGTTGGGTTCTAGTAGTTCAGTAGCAATCCGAATTTTTAACCTTTTGTTTCTGTGGCTCCTTGGGGAAGTAAGTTATTCAGCGCGCTTAGGGTTTTGGCTTGTTCGGGTGTGTAGGTCTGGAGTTATTTGCGACGGTTGGATTTAACGATAAACTTTAGGGGTTTGGTGTCTAGTGGTAGGAGACAGCAAATCTTGCATCGATTTTCGGAAACAACTTTATCCCGGGCTGAGCTTGCAAGATGCAGAGTTGAAGGTCCACGACTCTCCTTTCTTTCGCAGTGCGAGCACCCCAACGCATAAACCACCAATACCTAAACCCTGAACCCTGACCCCTGAACTCTAAGGGCTACAGGGGAACTAAATCGAGTGGTAATACAGAAATCGCTACTAGGGGCTTTACACTTGTAAAGTAGGGCTTTGAAGGTTGTGAATGGGTTTGTGCGAACGTTGTTTTTTTTGGGAACGGCTCGTTACAATAGGGTCCTGTATCGGAACCCAGAGGGGGTCCTGTATTGGAACCAAGAGGGAACACGTCGCTCATACTCGCAGGGCTCGCCCGGGTGCCTTTTCAGATGAATGAATCAAGCCCGTGCGGATTCCAATGCCAGGACCCAAAGTTTTGTCTCACGGATAACATGCAGCGCTGTAGCCCCAAATTTACAAACCTACCTCCCTAAAACCTGCTAAAAACCCTCAAGCCCTACACAGAAGGCCCGTAACTGACCCTAAAGGCAGTTTGGCGAGGTCAATTACTGGATGCGGCGGTATGTCCTCGCAAGTCTGGCTCACCCGGGTAAAGATGCACCGGATCCCCCTGAGGTCGGAATGGTGATGTTCAGACTCTTAGGGTTTCGGTTCACATGGCGTTCAGACATTCATGCGTCGTTTTCGCGAATGTGTAAGGGTGTGGGGTCTTGGGTTCTTCGCTTTCACAGCGAGTTTCACAACATTAGAGGTGCTTAACAGGAAGATCTGTGATTAGGAATCATGGTAAGCAAAACATGACCCTTAGGAGTGGCGTAGATGACCTGTAACCTATTCAATTTGGGGTACTATGATAGCAGGCAAGCAAGGACCATGCCTGGATTTCTATCCAAACCTCTGCAACCTCGAGCTCTAAACTCCCCCACTGGTCAGTATCAGATGATAAAGTAGTAGCAACAGGTGTATGCAGGAGTAGAGATACTTGCAACAAGCGCATGCCACAGTGAGAGTACTGGAAGTAGTATTGCTGGGAACCATTGCTGCAGCTGCAGTTGTTGCTCACATTGTAGTACCGGAGACAACACGGTTGCAAGTTTGATAGTGAACCGGGCAAAGCCATGCTGCCTTATCTCTCTGTGGGGCATGCTTATCATCAGGAGTTGCTGACTGACAATCGAAAGTTTGCACGGTTGTGGGTACCCGGATAGATCAGAAGCTCAGACCCCTTTAGCCTCGAATCTCTGATTCCTCTAAACCCTAAGCCCCTAAGCCGTATAGCCCCAAACCTCTGATTCCCACAAGTCTGCCACTAAGCGACAGGAGCTTTTGAAGCTGTGCCCATCGAGAAGCCTCGCCCAAGTGGGGGAGGCGGATTCAGAATCTTAGTGTAACAGTCGGAGCAACTAGTAGTTAGTAGCAGTATTAGTATCCCCTTGTCGTCCATATCCATGTATCTATGTATGTGTCATTAGACATTATATGTACATACACACGTATGTCTTTATGAGTCAAGAGACAGAGTGTAGCACCCCCCTCGCAACAGAAAATCTGCAAATTATCGAACCCCCTGGATAAGACCTAAACCCTAGACCCTAAACCCTAAACCAAGAGCCATGGTTGCACAGCTAAGTCCTCCTGGGCTTCTGGAAGGCTCTCAGGATTGTAAAGTTGGAAACGCGATTAGGGCCTAATAGTGCTGGGATTCCATGTAGGAGTTTCAACAATGACGGCTCCGGACAGCAGCAGTCGGCATAGCCCAGGACGGTAACATTGGGCATGCCTGTCGGCACATGGATGATTGCAAGCGGAGCACCAGGGAGGTGCAACAAAACCCAGCAGCAAAAGTAAACACAGCAGAAGGAGGAGAGCGACTGGCTGTACTCGTCGTAGCAGTCACGCTGGAAATCAAAGCAACAGAAATGACAAAAAGCAAACTTAGTGCGAGGGTGGAATGATACATCCAGCGACGCCAACCCCGAAAAGCTCTTGTCTTACCCCAAGGCTGCAGATGCCTACAGCGTAGGTTACTATGTCCACGGATTATGTAACACAGTAGAACAAGGTTCAGGTATCAGGACCTGGGAACTCCTAAACCATATACCTCATGCACTAACGTGGAACCTGATTAAGAAGCCCTGGGCCTATAACCCCAAAGTAGTAGGATTGATATAAGGGACCCTAAGAAAAGACCAAGCTTTCTGAATAGGTTCCGACATTAACCCGAACGCCTAAACCCCTAACCTTCAGGTTTTGAACCACCTTAGCTCTAATCTTCGAGCTTCACTGAAGGGGTCCTTACGATCGGTGGCATATGATACTGCTTTTGTGGTTTCCCGCATTTTCTGAAACTCCTACAAACCAAAACCCCAACACACTGAGCCCTGAACCTGAAAACCCTAGAACCCTAAACCTCAAACAGCTAACTCTAAAACATCCGAAACCCTACACCCTGAAGACTGCACCCGCAGCCCGTCCTGATTTGTCGGGCCTGCTGAGTTTTGGTCTTGAGGGTTTATGGGGCTTATAGGCTTGTAGGCTTTCTAGGGTATTATAATAGGGTTGACAAGGTTTGTGATTTTGGGGTTTAGAGTTTCAGACTTCGGGCTTCGCATGTTTCAAAGGTTTGCGGTGTCAGGTTTCTGGTTTCACGTCACTCTTTTGAGGATCAGGGCCTGGGGCGTAAGGCAGTCTTCTGAGGACAGGGCGACGAAAAAACTCCGCGAGACCTCCCGATGCAGTGGCCCTAGATCACCAGATTCAGAATAAACCTGAACTGAACCTCGATGTGAGTGAGAGTCCGGACTAAGGCTGCAGTGAATATGGCACAGGGCTTGCGGAAACCCTGAGATCCCTGAGCCCTAACCCGTCCAAGTAAGCGTGAACCGTAGGTTTTAGACCCAAGCCCGAAACCTTAAACCCCTAAACCAAAAAACCCTGAACCCCTAAACCCTAAACCCCTAGACCCTAAACCCCTAAACCCCTAAACCCTAAACCCCTAAACCCATAAACTCTCAATCCTGAATTTGTCAGGGCTTGGCGGACCTACGTCCCCTAGAGCTCCAACTACTGCCGCCAGGGATGCAAACCGGGGGCGTCCAACTCTGCGTTCTGACTTACCCTAGGGATCTAAGGACTCAGATATCAAGGCTTTTGGGCCCAAAGGCCATACTATGTAAGGCTTTGGGGCTCTTTTGATCCCTAGGGTTAAAGAGTCCTAAGCACCTCTCTGAGAGATACCAAAAACCATCACTGTGCGTAGTTCTTACGGCAGAACCCCACTTTGCATTATGTAGGCACTTAGGAGTTATACCTTTATCTCAAACGGCCTGGGTTCAGGGCTCTACGGAAGGCTCCGGCCCTACCTAGTGGGAGCTCTGCAAGAAGCACACCGGGCTCCCTAAACTTACAAGCACCTACTTGGAGGGTCGGGGGACTTAGTAAGTAGGTAAAAGGGACCCTAATTGGGGCTATGGTACTTATAAGTCCCTAAAATAACCAGTTACCAAGTCCCCCGACCCTGCAAGTAATGGTCGCCTGGGTCAGTAATAGTAAATAGTACTTGTTTCCCTCACCTTGTATGTTGACTATGACTGGGTTCTGTTGTTGCCTGTTGTTCTATTAGTTCTTGTTCGTATTATGTCGTGCTGTTTAAATATTGTTAAATACTATTGATGATCAGTAAGTGTGGCGCATACAAGTTTCTGATTTCAGACTGTCTTCCGGAGGCTTTACACGGCTAACCTTATGGTTCAGTGAAAGATACTCAGGGTACAGCAAACCCTAAACTCTGGTTGTTTCAGGATTGAGGGTGGGTTGAGGATTTCGGACCGGAGCTGAGGCTATATAATATCCACCATACGCCCTAACTCTAAACCCTAAACCCCTCAACCCTCAACCCTAAAACCTAAACCTCAACCCTAAACCCTAAAACCTAAACCTCAACCCTAAACCCTAAAACCTAAACCTCAACCCTAAACCCTAAGCCTTAGAACGTTTAAGCCCTAGCACCTGCACCTGTCAACCCAAAACATGAAACCCTCCAGCCTAAAGCCGAGGCCCGGTGCGGGTTTTGCCAAGAACCTTAGGGTTTAGGGTTTAGGGTTTAGGGTTTAGGGTTTAGGTTTTAGGGTTTAGGGTTTAGGGTTTAGGGTTTAGTGTTTACCCAAAGGCCCCAAAGTAGTTCCTTTTTGGGGTTACCCTATAGGATTCTAAATATGAACCACAAAGGGGAACTACTATGGGGTTCAGTGTTTACTGTGTTGAGTATGGCGGTCAACCTTCCGGGGTTCAATGCTGCAGTTTTGGGATTACGGGCGTACTTGGAGGTTCATGTGTAGTTATAAGTAGGGTTATAAGTCCCCTAATATGAGTTATAAGTATAGTTACCCTACTCAGAACCCCACTTATAACTACCTGTGAACTTCCAAGTAGGGTTCAGGGATGCGGGGGCTGAGCTTGAGCCCTTGACCGTAGGAAAGCTCCAATGCCCCATAATGAATGGTTCGGTAACGTTACAGCATTCCCAGATGTAAGAAAGATGCATGACATAACAGCGATCTTTCGCTAAGGTTACGGTGTAGTATTTTGGCTTCTAGTTGAGTGAGGCTACTTTATGGCTTCTGCTTCACCACTTCGCCGCGCTCGGTCTCGGCCGATGAGAACGATCGAAGGCCCGCCGGTCACGGATACTGAGTTAAAGGAAGAATATAATATCGGGGCCTTAATAGTCAGAGAAGGGTCTCGGGGCATATTATGCCATAGGTATTGTAATTTAAGGAGCCCCCCAAAATAACAGAGGTAGTTATAAAGCCCCTATATTACATGCGAGCGGACTTCGATATCTTGTACGTGACATAGTACGGAAGCCCAATCCCTCTACTTTCATACCCTACCCCTTTCTTAAGGTATCGACTTTTCCAAACAAAAGATCCTAGCCATAAAAATAGTTATCCTAAACCAAGGGCAGAGTATGAGCCTCTAGGCAGTTTGCATTCATGTTTTGGGCATGCTTGCCTACGTTGTGTCTGTGAGTCCCCAGCAGCGTGCTCTGGGAAAGGCATTGTGTTGCGACACAAACTCTGAGAAAGGGCAGTGATGCTGGCTTGACATGCGTACAGAGCTTCTGATGAAGCGAGTTTCTGAGCATTGGCGAGGTTTCAAGGAATCGTTAACTTGTCGAGGCACCATAGGGGGAGTTTCCGAAAATATGGGACCCTGATACAGTACTTTTAAATAGTAGGAGTAGGATGGTCCCCAAAATAAGGTACCCCCCAAAAAAAATAAAAATCGGAAACTCCCACACTCTAAAACCCTAAACCCAAAACTCCGAGGAACCCCTGATATTCGGAAACTCCCAAATCCTGACATGAAACCCATAAATAGCGCATCAAAGGAAACCTTATGGCACCCTTAAAGTATCACTTTAAAGGAACCCTTAGGTAACCCAAATTTTCGGAATCTCCCGAATTTTGACATGAAGCCCTAAACCCTAGAACCCTAAAGCCCCAAAACCCTAAACCCTAAAACCTAAACCGCGAAACCCGAAACCCTAAAGCCCTAACCCTAAACCCTAACTAAAACCCTAAGCCCTGAACCGTGAGGTACCTTCGCGTTTGCGATGCCGGTGCAGAAGTCGTGGCTGCAGATACAGACAGGCCGCTTCAGGGCCACTTTTGGGCCGTAATCTAGGGTTCCTAGAGTTCCTTTAAAAGGGATCTATTTCCTAGGGTTCCTTTAGATCGAGGGTCCATATTTAAGGGTTCTTATAAGTGGGATCTATAAGGGTACTAGAATATAGGGGCGTTAATTAATAATTGCCGGTACTATTTGGGGGGTTCCTTCTTGTAAGTATAGCCCCAAAACCTCTAATTATGAAGGCCCCTATATGATATAAACCCTACTATAGATCCCTTATAGACCTCTTTAAGGAACCTATTAAAGGGAACCTTAGTCTAATTATGAAGGCTGCTGATATTTCGGATGAACCCGGTGCTGGATGGTCGTTTCGTGTCGCGGCCTTCTGACTGAACCAGGAGAAGTCAGAGGCACCTAACTCCAGGGTTTAGGGTTTAGGCTTTGGGGTTTAGGGGTTTTGGCTTTACGATTTAGGGGTTTTGGGTTTAGGGTTTACTTGGAGGGTCGGGGGACTTAGTAACTGGTTATTTTAGGGACGCATAACCCCCATTAGGGTCCCTTTTAGGGTACTTATACGTCTACTTACTACCTACTTACTAAGTCCCCCGACCCCCCAGGTAGGGTATAGAGTTTCATCCGCAGCGGAGTAGCAGCTTTGTTTGTTATTTATATCACTGAGCGCTTCTGAAATCTCCACTACTGCGCGCCGCAGCCTAGCACAAGTGCATCATCAATCAAGTCGCAACTACTCGCATTACGACCGTGCACTCTTTCTCTTTATTTTTCTCTTTCTCTTGCTCTTTCTCTTTCTTACCCTCCCTCCTCCCCCTTACCTCTCCTATTCCCCCCTTCCATTCCCCACCTCTCTTCCCCTGCCTACTCCGCCTGCTTAACTGCTTACTCGGCTACCTCTTCTCCCCCCTCTCCTGTTTAACGCGCGTTGGCTGCATTATTACCCCGTCTTGCGGCAGCCACGACGACTTATAGGCGCAAGTACACGTAGTTGTTATGATAGAACAACAGTTTCTCACCGCGGACGGCCCTACGATTCGAAGAAAAGCTATTAGCTGTTTCCAACTTTTGTCCAGCAGCAGAGCTGTGGCATTACCAGTTTCTTCGATGGGATTGCGAGCATTAACCCAAACAACACGCGTGAGAGACATGCCCTAAACCCTAACCCTCAATCCATGCCTATTCCTAAAACCCCAGACCCTAAACCCCGGAAGCCCTAAACTCTCAACCCCTAAAGCCTTAAGCCCACAACCATACGTGAAGGATGCTGAGACTGAGACTTGATGGCAAGGGTTATAAATCAGTTACCTATCTATCTATCTATCTATCTATATAGTATGTTATAAACCAAATACTTGTAACCCGATGAAGGTACTTTATTGCCTTACTTACCCAGTCTCATGATCCTCCGTACAAAGCCCTTGTAGATCCCTTATAGATCCCTGTAAGGAACCCTTTAAGGAGCCCTTTGAGGAACCTCACGTAGTAGATGCGCAGGAGCGACGCTGAGGAGGCGCTTGCAGTTGAACCAGCCCCTTTCCTGCAACATGGTTCGATTTCTCCCGGTGGGCCCATTTTCCATTTTGTTGACGCCAAACCCTCAACCCTAAACCCTGTAGCGTTGTTATAAAACGACCCGAGGGCCAAGAAGGGAGCCGTTTTTCCTAGTTTGCTAGGGGTCCTCGGGTTTGAGGCGACTGTAGCGTTCAGGGCTGTTTCGGTTTTCAGGATGTGTTACGTTTATGCTTTGGGGATCTAGGGGTTTGGGGTGCAGGGCTGAGGGGCCCTGGGTTCAAGGTTTGAGGGTTAGGGAGGATTTTAGGGGTTGAAGCAGAACCTCTGTGAGACAGAGTTGATCGGCATGGTTTCAGAGTTCCCATATGGGGTTTCCGATAAAATGTAGTACCCTAAATAATAGGATCATATAGGATCCTTATTATAAGGACCCCCCAAAATAAGGTACCCCGAATACCTTGAGCTGTGGACCCAGACTGCTGAACCGAAGACGGAACGTGCCCAAGTTTTCGTGAGGATGCCCCATAGCCGAAGCCGTTCGTGTAGGAACTTGGACAATTAGAAGTAGTCGTCTACTTGGAGGGGCAGGGGACTTAGTAAGTAGGTGATAAGTAGAGTTATAAGTACCCTAAATGGAATTACCCCAATTATAACCCTACTTATAACCTACTTACTAAGTCCCTTGCCCTTCCAAGTAGAGGGGCTTAAACCTTATTTGGGGCTTGGGTCTTTGAGGCTCAGGGCTAAGTTGTTAAGAGTTTTGCCTCGGTGTTTACAAGATAAACCCAAGCTTGTTGTTTAGTACCCTAAACCCTAAACGTTTGGGTCTGAGATGAACTGTGAACTTCTAGCTTCATCGCTTATGGTCGCCCTCTTGGTTTAGGGTTGAGGGAGGGCTTCAAGTTACTTGGAGGGTCGAGGGCTTAGTAACTGGCTTTTTTAGGGGCTTATAAGTACCTAGGGTCTCTTTTAGGGTACTCATAAGTCTACTTACTACCTACTTACTAAGTCCCCCGACCCTCCAAGTATGGTTCAGGGTTTCGGGGTTCAGGCTGTGGTGCAAACCCAACAACTTCCTACCTTCTAGTTAGTAGACCTTGAATACCTACCATTGCTAGATGGCCCTATTAAGGGGCTCCAGAGGATCCTGGTCTTCCCTAAGCCCTGGGTTTAGGGTTTAGGGTTTAGGGTTTAGGGTAACCCTAAACCCTTAACCCTTAAACCATAAACCGCCGAGGTGGCCATGGCCCATCGCTTAGACTTGTTCGCGACAAGCCTTCATACCTTGCGGCCCTTCGCGCCCTGGGCTGACCGTTTAGAGTTTAGGGCTTCAGGGTATTGGGGTTTTAGGGGTTTGGAGCTTTAGGGGTTTAGGATTTGCAAGGGTTAAGGAGTTTATAGGGTTTCGATGGCTTTCCTGACATGTTTATTGTCTGATCTGCACCCCACATCTGTCCAGTGGAGACTACTGGGGTGGGTGGCAGTCCGTCCTTGTTGTCCCTGTCGTAGCGTGTGTGGTAGGAGTAGAAGCAGTAATCTGTTGCATCAAGGTCTATCATGAACAAGATCCAGATCGATCAAGTATGTCTTTCTAGTCGTTGTCCCCGCCGTCGGTATCATGTTCACCGCAAGTAGTCGAACGACCAACCAAACTGTTGATTATTGCAAAGAGCATTCCTACGGGGGCTGTGTTAGCATATGTCATGGCACGGGCCAGTGACCAGTGTAAATTCTGTCCCGATCCCCTCTTCGAATTCTCTGAGGAGCACCTGCGCCCTGAAGTACTATAGTGACATGCCCAAAAGGCCTATTCTAATCATTGCGACCCCTTTACTTTTACCCCTAGATCCTTTATCCAACCCGTATTTTAACAGCCTTTTCAAGGGAATCTCCCTGAACCCTAAACCCTTAACACTAAACCCGTAGGCCTAAACCCTAAACCCATGAGATGGCAGTGGTTTCACCGCATGCCCCTTCGTGGGGGAGGCTTAGTGGGAGGGCTGGGTCTAACATGTGTAAAAACCCAAATCCTCGAACCGGCGCCGCTTGAGGTTGAGCCCGCAGAGCTCGTGACGATTTGTCGTTCTGTGAGAGACGGTTACACACCCAATCACGTGTGGTTCCAGATCGAGTCCAACTTGCGTCTCTGCTGGAGTTTGGGTTGCTTTGCACTTTGAGTGCCCTCGTTCGGGGTCCTCACATTCGGGATCTCACTGAACCTGGACTGCACATCGTGGCCCATTTTGCGATTTGCATCTCGTGACTCAAGATATCTGGTTGCAGGATCGTAGGCCATAATTCAGCCTAAACTCCGCCCTGTGAATGGCCAACTCCCAAGCCCCAAATTGAAGACCTTGTTCAGGTTTCCGGGTTCAGGACTTTCCTCAACATTCCAACAATCATGGTTTAGTTTCGAGACGCCCACATCCTTTCGGTCCCCTATCCAGCTGCTGGTTTCGGAGCTGGCTCATTGCAGGTCGCAGTGGACATTGCATAGTGTTTAAACGAATAACTCTGGTCATGATCTTGGCCAATTTCCCAAACGTGATGGTTCTGAGCCCCAGTTTATAATAATTATAATACACACCACACCAAACTACCCTGATGAAAAGTTGAACCTGTATGTATGCATGCATGCGTGCCCACACATCTGTCTGTCTGTCTGTCTGTCTGTCTGGTCTGTCTATATGTATGTATGTATGTATGTATGTATGTATCTACGTATGTGTACATGCCTACATATGTACACATGTATGTACATGTGTATGCACGCATGGATGTATAGATGGATGGAAAAATTCACGGTGTAGACATAAGACCATTGAAAGGCCATCCACCAAACCCTCGACCCTAAACCCCAAACCGTATCTCAGGCTTTCTCTTCTCGGTCCTAACGTGACGTTCGATGAGAATCTGGTTGGTGGCCCACATGGTTGGGAAGCCTGGACGCAGGCCTTGGGATGCATTCAGGGGCCTGTCCAAGCATCCATATGGGAGTTTCCGAAAAAAGGGGACCCTAATATAGTGCCCTAGATAGTAGGATCCTTATTACATAAGGTGCCTCTAAATAAGGTGCCCCTAATTTTTGGAAACTCCCCTATCAGAGGCCCTCAGGCCACTGTTTGGTTCTTAGTAGAGAATGGCGGAATGGGTTGTGGGGACGAATATAGGGGATCATAAAGGGACTATCATGGGGATCCATTCCGCCACTCCCTTCTAAGCACAAGACAGGCTACTATGATCTACTTCTTCTTGCTGGCAACTAGTAAAGCCCCAGTATGGAATCCCATACAGACCCTACCAAAAAGAACGAGGTTTGGGTTGCTCAAGGATATATATATATATATATATATACATACATACTCTAGTACGCCAGGCTCGCGTGTCGGATTTTTTGAAGATTGCTTAAGTATGCCCAGAGGCTCGTAAAGTCTGGGTCTCGAAGCCCTGAACCTTAATACTTAAGGCCTGGGACTTGTCCAGAGAGCCCCTTACCCCTCAATCAAGCAATTTACCTGGAATTAACTACGGGGGCTGTAATACTACCAACTGTTTAAGGGACAGTCCTTGAATTGTTATCTGAAATCATCGGGGGGGTCAGAATAAGATAATTTTAAATGTTTGAGGAATAACCAATAGATGAAGGGTGCCGCGCTCTCTGGGTGTGTTGAGACCCGACCTAAACCATAAACCCTAAAACCCTAAACCCCTAAACCCCTGAACCCCGAAACCCTAAACTCTAAACCCGAAAAACCCTTAAGCCCTAAACCCCCAAACCCTGAAACCCTAAACCCTAAAACCCTTAAACCCTAAAACCCCGAAACCCTTAAACCCACAACCCTTAAACCCTAAAGCCCGAAACCCTAAAACCCTGGAGGATGCTCAGACCATGCTGCAGCAGATCCGGAGGAAAGATCCTCCACAAAGCCTAGGCTGATTTTAGCCTATAGAGCTGCTTGACCCGAGGTGTTTAGGGTTTAAGGTTGAGGATTTAGGGGTTTAGGGTTTGGGGGATCGGGTTTGGGATTTAGGGTTTAGGGTTTAGAGTTCAGGAGTTACGCAGCTTCTTTGTCATAGTTGGGGAACATTTTACACTTTTGTGGGTACTTAAACCAAGCAAGAATAGACGTTTTCATGTTTTAATACTATCCTAACCATGGACTATATAGGCTTGCAGAGTTGCTTGACCCGAGGTTTAGGGTTTAGAGTTCAGGAGTTTAGGGGTTCAGGGTTTAGGGCTCAAGCTGCTTGACCCGAGCTTTGGGGGTTCAGGTGTTGAGGGGTTAGGGGTTGAGGGCCGAAGCTGTTTGACCCAAGGTTTGGGGCTCATAAAGGGTTCGCTGGAAGTGTGCAAGAGGGCACGGCTGTCGGGTGTAACCGGGCCTTCAAAGGAAGCCATGAACATAACAAGACCCAAGAGCCCAAGTGATCTCAAACCTCACACCCAAAGACCCGAATCAATTCGGAGCACTAAACTCCCCCTAGCCTACGACAACAACGCCTTTACCCTGAACCTTAAGCCCCAAACCCTAAACGCTAAACCTCAAACCCCTAAAGACCCCTAAACCCTGAACCCGAAGCCTTCAACTTCAGCCCCACACTTGGAGGGTCGGGGGACTTACTAAGTAGGTAGTAAGTAGATGGAGAGGGGTCAAAAAAATAAAAGGGATCAACAAACAAAATAGTAAGGATCAAAAAAATAAAAAGAATCAAAAACAAACGTAGCGTTTACGAGGTAATGTGCCTATTTCCTCGCTTGGCAGCCTTCGGCTTCTGGGCTCCTGGCTTCTGTGCTGCCTGGCTCCGCTGCTTTTTTGGCTTCTGGTCTCGGTTGGCTTTCTGGCTTCTTGGCTTCTTGGGTTTCTGGCTTCTTGGCTTCCGGGCGGCTTGGCTTCTTGGCTTCTCGGGTTCTTGGCTTCTTGGCTTCTTGGCTTTGGGCAGCTTGGCTTCTCGAGTTCTTGGCTTCTGGGCTTCTTCGCTTCTTGGCTTCTGGGCTTCCAGATAACATGCGTACGATGACTGCCTTGTCGGCTTCTTCGCTTTTTGGCTTCGCAAACTCGCGGCCACTCGCGGCTTCTCGAAAATTTAAAGGCATTAAAGAAGAAAATAAAAAGGGATCAATTAAACAAACTAAAAACGATCAAAAGACAAATGCATCTTTATTCAAGGGGTACAGTTGGTACAAATATGTGTGAATATATATATATATATATATATAAAGTGTACATGTATATATATATATATATATATATATTCGACGCGGAGCTGGCGAGTTCCGAATAACGTGCGCACGCAGCCATGGCCGGCAACTGTTAACGTCGAAGCCCTCCACGCTGTGCCAGGCTTTTGTGGCCTTTTGCGGCCTTGACACCATATATATATATATATATATATATATATATAGCGTCGCAAACTTCCGACGCTGAACTATTGGAATCTCATCCTGGCAAATAGAGCTGCTTGACCCACGCAGCCATGGCCAGCAACTCTGGTTACACCAACCGTTCGAGCCCTCTACGCGGTCCCAGACTTTTCCGGGATTGACATCGTAGTTTCGCACAGTTTCGACGCGGAGATATTGGAATAGCACTTGCCGTTGTTTGCAGCAAATCTCTAATCCTAGATTTTTTTGATCCTTCCTAAATTTTTGTTGATCCGTTCAGCCTAAATTTGCTATTGATCCCTTTTAATTTTTGTTTTGATCCTCCACCCGTAAGTAGACTTATAAGTACCCTAAAAGGGACCGTAATTGGGGTTATGGTACTTATAAGTCCCTAAAACAACCAGTTACTAAGTCCCTGAACCCTTAAACCCTATAACCCCCTTATACAGCCCTTTAAAGGAACCCTTAGAATCCCCTTTAAAGGAGCCCTTACTAAGTCCCCCGACCCTCCAGCATTCGAAGCCAAGGTCGCCTCTCCATCGATGTTGTTTTCCATTCTCGTGACTTTTCAACTACCCGATGAGCCCAGTAAGACAGGGGCCTTAACAGGGTTCCTTTGAGGGGATCTATAAGGGTTACTATGAGGGATCTATAAGCGTTCTATAGTATAGGGGCCTTAACACTAAGAATAGGGTTTTGGAATATGCTATGATAAGAATACGGAGCGTCCAGGAAAACGAAGCTTGAAATTCTTCAGGCTCCTCTAGTCCTGTACGAACCTATATGGCAGGTGCTGGTTTGCACGGAAAAGTCTATGCCGTAATAGCAGGCATAGCAGTAACGAGCTATCTAGCTAACTGGGCTTTTCGGGTTAGCTCAAAGGGTCCAAGTGAGCCAAGACAGTTTCTGGTCTATTGCTGTCCAGTAAAGGCTAATTACAAGACTGGTATCGAACGTAGCAGGTAGCAGCTTTCACCCGGGATATGCATTTCGAGGGATCGATATCAAATCCAACGTTCAGGCTAAAGAAACCTCCTCATGCACATACATGAACTGCTTTGCATCATCGCCCTAGCCTTCTCAGGGTCGTTATTTCATTTCACTAAGATGAACGACCGTCTGCGTCTCGAAGAGACTTCTTGAGCTGTCAGATCCCAGCATGTGCCACTGGACCACCTGAGGAGGAGCGGAAATGCCCACAAGATAATGCAGTTGACAGCCTGGGCGGTTTTCAGACAAGGACTTCTGCCCTGAACTTTAATCGCGATGGGCTTCGGACTCTTTACTATGATAATCCTTGTTTGAATCCTGGTTGTAGGTTGTGGGGTTTATGTAGGGTATAGTAGGGCCTTATGTCTTATGAGAGGCATGCAAGTTTCGCACGTAAAAAGGTATGGTTCAGAAGAGTTGCTGCCCATCTGCACCTTAGAGCGAGCTCTGGTTGCCGCGGTGCTTTACCAGGGATCGCAAGCCTGGATTCGTTTGCCCCTCGCCCAAACCCTACAGCATAAACCCTTGAGTAGATCCAAATCTGTACTGTTTGAAGCTGGTCAATGTAAATTGATGCCCTTAAACCACCACAAACCCTAAACCCTAAACCACTGAATCCAAAATCCTAAACCCCTAAATACTAAACCACTAAACAATGTTCTAAGGCAGTGGAATCCGATTTTGTTCATCGCAGGTCTACAGACCTGGGTTTTCCAACTCGGCCATTTCAACCTTTAATTTGGATCGCAAGACCATCCCACAACCCTCTGAGACTCTGGGCAGTCATGTTCAATGTTCAACTGCCTGCCCCTCCTGAACCCTAAACCCTAAAGCCCTAAACCCTTAAACTCCTAAACCCTAAACCCATAAACTCCCAAACCCTAAACCCTTAAACCCCTAACCCCTAAACCCTGAGTCTTGAAGGCACAGACCAAGGCCCTGAAGATATGGACCCAACTAACTGAGCCGTGGGGTTTAGGATTTGGGGGCAGTTAGGATGAGGGTCATTGGGTTTAGGGTTTAGGGCTTTGGGGGTAGTTAGGATGAGGGTCGTTGGGTTCAAGGTTAAAGGTTTAGGGTTCGAGGTTTAGGGCTTTGGGTTTAGGGCTTAGGATCAGGATCCTTGGGTTTTATGAGGGCTTTTCGGTGCAAGGTTGCGGGTTGAGGCTTTCAGGTTAAATTCAAACCCTAAACCCTAAACCCTAAACCGGTTGCATCTTCTTTGATGTAGGGCTGTGGGCTGCGCGCACATACGCCCGACCGACGACAGCCTGATAAAAACCAGAACCCGACCTGGCATCCCAAGCGACCGAGTCATAATATGAACCCCTGCATGCAGCCCCCACCCTAACAAGGGTCATCGTGGTAGAGAGCCCTACTACTAGTACTACTACTACTACTACTACTGCTGCTACTACTACTACTACTACTACTACTACTACTACTACTACTACTAGTGCTACTACGACGACTACTACTGCGACGACGACTACTACTACTACTACTACTACTACTACTCTGCTACTGCTACTGCTATTGCTCCTGCTGCGGCTGCGGCTACGGCTACGGCTACTGCTACGACGACGACGCCGGCGACGACGACGAGGGTAAGACAATAACAGTAACAATACTAACAGCCATCTTGTCAAACATGGGTGACCAATGCCCGGGTTTTGGAGTGTTATCAGACATTGGTGGCCGATGCCCGTACACAAGCCCTTAGCAGGCCCTGCTTAGCAAGGAGAGCCCAAACGAAGTAAGCTCTGACCCTGGTTGAAAACCACACTACACTAAGCCTCTTATAGGCCCGTATAAGACCTTACCAAACTGACACATTAACACCTCATGCAATCCTATAAGAGTTGATAGAAGACAGGCAAAACCCTGTTATTTTCACAGAGCCCCGGCATGATCTCAACGTTTTCGTCTATGTTGAAGCCACCTGAACTGATCTTTGAGCAGCAGGACCCGAGAGCCATGAATAAGTGGGCCCGACACTCCCTGGCTGGATGCAGACGTCTTGAACCGATGGTTTCGGAACGGTTTAGGGTTTAGGGTACAAGGGAAGAGTCAACCTCCACCCTTAACACCAAACCCGAAACCTCTAAATGCTGAGGGTTGAGGGTAGGTACCGTTCACGGGCCGTAGTGCCGAGATGGGGACGGGCCGCCCCCAGCGAGTTGAAAAGGACTTTGCAGTTTTAGTGCGTCGGGTTTGCTGATTGAGTCCCCTAAACCCTAAACCCTGAACCCTAGACCCTAAACCCTAAACCTTAACCGAAAAACTGAGCTCCCAAACTCCCAAACCTTTCCAAAAGCCTGAAGGGCTGAACCCCCGATCCTCAACCCCCAAACCCGTCATTTTGGGTTTAGGTTCGGAGCTCATGGGCAGGACTCATTCTGTGAAACTCCCCCATGTGCGCAGCACGATACTTTGGATCCAGGAATATCACCACCCTAAACCCTAAACCCTAAACCGGTTGTTCGGTTGTGAGGGTGCTTCCGTAAATCGCGAGACATCAGCGGTCATGTCTATGATAAGCTAAGCATTTTATTTTCACACGA